TTATTTATTTTTTGTGATTTGCATGCCCTAATCGATTTACATTCTAAGAAACTGGTGAGTATTGAGAACTTTAACGAGTGTATGCATTATTATTCTTAAAAAGTGTGAACTCTATGCTCATAGCATCTTGGTTAGTTTTTCAGATTTTGCATTTAACATATCATATGTAAGCAACTGATACTTTTTCTCTGTTCGAAGGATTATGAGGAGGATTTTGAGGAGATGGATCCGAGTGAAAATGAAGGCGAGGATGAGAAGGAGTCAGAGGAGTTTCCACAAGAGGGAGGAGAAAGAGAGGAAGTTACAACACAAAAGAAAAAAGAGATTGAAGCAATTCAGAGAGCAATGAATGAAGAGAATGAGAGAGTTGGAACAGATCAGTCCATACAAAGTACGAGGAGAGAGGAGGAAGACGAACCGAAATTGTCCAGAGGTACGGTTCTACTGTTTAATCTTCCTGAGAGATATCTTTTAACACTTGCACTTTTTATCCCATGTTGATGTCTGGCCATATTTTTTCATCATGTCGGATCAGAAAACACATAATCCTGGGGAATTACTTGATATATGATGTTTTCTTGTTGCTCTCTTAATAGGACACGAAAAGAACCACAGTCGAGCTTCTCAACGCGGGAAGTTTATTGACTTTGTGGCAGCAAAACAGCGCGAATTCAGCAAGAAGGTTGCCACAAAACAAAAGTACGTTCACTTCAGAACTCTTGTTCGTATTAAATGGAAAATGGATCATTGTAATGTGGCTGTTTCCCTCTGGAGGCACTTGTTCTTTTACCTTCGATTTAAGTGTTTTTTTCTGTTCACAGGAAACGCAGCACAGAGCTGCTCAGATTAATTGATCTGGATTTCTCGATGACAGTTTCCCTTTTGGATCTCCCACCTGTCAATGAATATGACATGTATATTAGAACCTTTGGAACCGCAAATACCAAACAGGCCAGTATTTATTCTGCTGTCTCTCTTTCTTCACACAGACACATGTCGAGAAAAATATAAAAGAGAAAAGAAAAAACTGTTTCGAAATAATACCCTGCGACTTCTTCCTTCGCAGGCTTATGTTCAGTGTAACGAGGACAACGCAGATCGAGACATTCAGACAGAGGAGATAGAGGTGTGTGAGAAGTGGACACAGCATCCTCCAGAGCACAGTGGAGCCTGTGGAGGTGAGGAAACACCAAGATATTTCTCTCATCAACTCACTGTTTACACGTGGAGTTTAATAACTGTGTTTATTATATTTCTACAGATTCAAACCTCTCTCAGGAAGCTCAGGGAAGAAACATGAATGAAACGAACTTTGATTCCCAGCGTCTGGCAGCATTTCTGCGCTCAGCCTCACAGGTTATCCTCTTACACATACACATGCTACATAGCTCCTTACTCCCTACATGGAGACTTTCTGTTTCTGCTGCACTTTCTTTACTCCTGTTGTGTGTTGTGACTGAATCAAGGTCCTGGTCGTCCTGTTGGAGGAGGATCAAGCTGAGAGAAAATCCCTGAGCAAGTTGAGGACTCAAAAAGACACACTGTCATTCAGCGATGGAAGTTTACAGCTCAACACCAAGTTGCCTTTTCTTTACGGTACATAACAGAACCAGAGAATCCCATTCATGACTTTATTTTAGTAGTTGTGACGTGTTAGTCATACCTTGTGGTTTTATTTGGACAATAACAATTGTTTAGAACACACGGTATAAACCAGCACATGCGTGTGAACCAGGTTGTCCTCACTGTTGTCAATCGCAGATCGCCACATAAGCCTGGTGTACTTCTCTCAAGTTCAGAGGCACACCATGATGTCCGTCCACGCACCTACAACCAAACCCAGTGCTGTGCGCCTTGACAGCTGCACCATCATCTGCATCTGGAACATCTGGGAACCATCCAGGCCTCAGAAGATCCTTGTCTATGAATCTGAGGTTTTCTATGTTTTCTGGTTCTCTTTCCAGAACAGATACAATCAAAGCAGTCTTACATTCACTGAAACCAATGTATCCCCATTTTAACTTCACTGTCCCAGGTGCAGTGTTGCTGTTTCAGCCCTGGAAAGGCCATATTGGTGTTTGCAGGCACATCAGCTGGCTCTGTGGTGTTGTGGGACCTGAGGGAGGAGACCAGTAACCACTACCGCCTGAATATAGGGGAGGAGGAGTGGACCTTCAGACAACCTACCTTCTCCACCAGTATGTCTCCAGTGGTAGTTGGTTGTTTTCAGTGCATGCATATGGACACTGATGATTGATAAAATTATGTAACATTTCTATGTTCCTCTATGTTCCACTATATTACAAATAGTCCATCAGGACTGCATTAGCCCTTTCTCTCACTTAAGGTTCAGAGGCTGTTTTCTTACGTAACAGCAGAGATGATTAGATGTGTGCTGATATGCTCTCTTTTGTCGCCTTGTCAACGCAGACGCAGTGATGGCCGCCTCGGGTCATTTCTCGTCTGTGTCGTCCGTAGAAGTTGTCCCCTCCACCGCAGCAGGGGGGCTGAGGCCAGAGGTCCCCCTGCTGGCTTCTGAGGAAGGTATGGAAAGGTTAACACATTAATTTAAGATCTTGGGTATCATTCTGTATACATGTACTGTTTTTGCCATTCTCAGTTGGCTTTATATTTCATGAAGTGTTATTCTGTTTCTTGTTATCCAGAGTCATCAGGATTGTCTTTCCAGCTGGCTTCTCTGGATGAAAGTGGGGTTTTAAATTTCTGGGTAGGTTGAGCAACAAAGTGGATTCCACATATTTTTCTCTCTCCGGAGATCAACAAACTGGCAGAAGGCCGGGATGAAAGGGACGAAAACAACAGAAAGTGAATTATTGTAGTTTGGCCCCACACTGATTCTCTGAGTCACAACTCAGTCAGATTTAAACATAATTCCATCACAGGTAAAGAATCCACTTACAATCACAGAAACAATCCTTATATCCTTATAACCACAGTAATACAACAACAGTTGTCTGCATATCAAAGAGTTGCACAAAGAAACAGCTAATAGCTTATTCTGCATATCTGCTGGTGCTAATTTGCCCAAAAAGTGTAGAAATACAGGCTGAACTCTTGCAGCACAAGGTGAACTGACTTCATGTTAACATTATAACTTCCCATTTACAATTCCACAACTGTCAGGGTAAAATCCATATGTATAAACTTTATTCAGGTTTTTGACTCTACTCAGATTGACACTCTTCCCACGATGCATTCTTATACAGATAGCTCTACTTTAACAGAAAAGATGTGCCACCATGGACATGCATGATTTTCTATGTGTGTCCTCTAGGTGGTAGTGGAGCTTCCAAAAGCCAACGAGGCCGGCTCTCCAACAGATCTAGGTAACACTGTCACATGGTCAAACATATTTTCTTATTTCCATCAACATTCTCATCTTTCTGTCTCTCACACACACATGTGGCACCAGCTTCAACTTTGCTCTTTGTCTCCCGCAGGGCTCAGGCCTGGGGGCAAAGTGAAGTTGCTTCACAGCTCCTCCCTGCTCACTGCTGAGAGGTGAGATTGATAAATAGCTGGCGATGCATCCGTCACTGCCAGCCACCGGCTGAAAATACCCCATAGCGCCTTTGCGCGGTGGAACACAGCTGCTCTGTCATGGCCATATGATCCTGTTTGTTATGTTCTGCGGGCTGTTGTTTTTGTCACCTCCACATTCGATAGGGACATACTGTATGAGTGCTCATTTAAGAGCAGTGTGAATGTGATCCATGTAGTGTCATATTCCAGTGTTGCCCAGTTTGTTTTTGGCTAGGAAGGTTTTGACTTTTGACCTCTGGTTTTGTAATTATCTTCCATCACTCTTGCTCTGTCTGACTTTCAGGGTGTCACAGAGAGATGCAGTGAAAACAGGCCCATTACAGACTCTTCATCTGAAGTTTCTTCCGTCTGACTCAAATCATTTCTTTATTGGCACCAATATGGTGAGCATACGTTTTTTCAATTATGTATTTTCAAATAAATTATCTCAAAATATTCTGAGGATTATGTTTAGTAATGTGACAATGTCCTTTCTGTCCAAGGGTCTTGTCAATCATGGAACGAGTCACAGTTTGAAGGCTACTCCAAAGTTTTACAGGTTTCAGGAGGCTGGAGTTCGACCTGTTGATGTCAACTCAATCCACTTTTCTCCCTTCAGGCAAACCATGTTCCTGGTGAGAGTGCAGTTTTTTTTTTAATTAAAGGAAACGTTTTATTTTTTGAGAAAGGGGAATTTAAATCTAGCATGCTTTATATAAAGATAAGGCCAGAAGCCGGCCAGCTCATCTTAGCATAAAAACTGGACAATCCGAACTCAAGTCTTAAAAATATATATGTATTCTATTTGTTTGACCTTTTTCCAGGTGGGTTGTGGGGACGGCAGCATCAGGCTGCACACAGTCAGCCAGGAGCAGCCTGTGGCAGAGTGGAGGGACAGTACAGCGGGGGAACCGGTGGTCTCGCTGCAGTGGGCCCACACCAGGCCGACGGTCTTCTGTGTGCTCGATGCAGCTTCTAACCTCCATATATGGGACCTGCTGAAAAAGGACACAGAGCCTGTGGTCACAGAGAGAATTTCTGCGGACAGGTAGCACCAGACACACACACAAGTGATGATTTTTATATTTGTCATATGATGTGTTGATATCAGATGTGTGTTTTCTGTTTCAGGGTGACAGCCATGGCCGTGTTCGGGGACTCAGGAAAACAAAACACGTATTCAGGAATAGCCCTGGTGCATGAATCAGGGAAAATAGAAATGCAGTATTTCACAAGAGATTTTACCGTGACCATCCCTGCGGAAGAGGAGAAGCTGGAGACAATGATGACGGAAGCCTTCCGAAGCATCTAAAGTGGCAGCGTTTAGATGATTACTTCATTTTTGAATTCCTGAAGAGCATAAAGATAAAGTTATGAGTCATAATTCAGTTTGATGTGTGTTAGCAATGAGAGGATTGTGGCTAAATACCAAAGATCCTCCACAATTCAGTTCATATCCTCCATAAAAAACATGATAGTAAATATATAATGTAGATGTCTGTTGATGTACATATTTATATTTTCTAACTAAAATGTATTTGTATGGCAGTATCTTGATTGATTTTTGTACAATAAACTGAGTATATATGTTGTTGTGTTGTTTCATTCATTCTAATCACCCTCCTAATCCAAGTTTACAATGTTTAATTCTGATTCTATGAATACTAAAGTCTTTAATCCATGTTCTTCCTGCTTCAGAGACCTGACACAAAAACCATTATTTTGAAACAGATTTCTCGAATTTTGGATTAGTGCATAAACTGAGTCCAGTTGTTTTTTTTATCATAGATTAATTATAAATGGCATAAAAGCACAACATTAAACAATAACGAAACATTCCTAAAAGTTAAAAAAAAGTTTTTACTGAGTTTGGTATCTGTGACATGATGAACCCGTGTAGTTTATTTCTTATTCTTTATTTATAAGAGGAACTACTTTTTCTCCAAAGTCAAAGTTGTGACCTGCAGCCGTGGATGTAACCTAGCGCCTCGTTGCCTAGCAACAAACTAGGGGAGCCGAGAGAGGAGACGTAACTTTTATCCGAGTTGTTTAATTCATCGTTTTCAGGTCAATTAGCATCAAACTCCACAGATCTGTCACCAGGCTGCTTCCAGGGTAAACTACCAGCTCATGGAAGGTAAACACAGACTGAGCTCACTAAGCTAATACCGATAATAACGTTGTGAATCTGCATCTTTTAGGAGCAGGCAGGAACGTGACAGTGTAAGAATCAGGATAAATATGGATTAAAAGAGAAGCGAGTGATGTTCTGCTCTGTGTTTGTCTTTTAAAACGGGATTAAATCAGTGTACGACTGAAACTAACCATTGTTTTACATATATGTTGAGATTTTTCTTTGTATTTGTCGATTAGTCAAGACAAGTTGTTTTCAGACATTGTGTAAAGATATCCAGTTCATGGAGGACACAGAAAAACAGCATCATGCATCAATTTCTATCATTTAAATGTTCAGATTCTAATAGTTTTATTCTAGTTTAACGAAGTAGAAACTCCAATTTGATGATAATCGGCACAGATCCACAGAGGCGGTTTCCACTTGATTAGAATCTGAGGTTTTATTTGACAGCTGATTCTCAATTAAGTGGAACTTGCAGATGCTGAGATCATTTGGGATTTTGTTTTAACACATTTAAATAAAATTTTAAAGCAGGCAAGGAAATAACACTAAAACACCACCATGCATTCATGTAATTGTTTTATTTTTGACTTTTTCTAATGTCCTTTCCAAACTGGAGATAATACATGAGAAAAAGTGCCGTGTAGAAACTGGTGGAGATTGTCGCTCCAGGAGTAAGAACAACACAACAACAGTTCTCTTCCCCTGTCCTTCCCCAAGGCTGCTGTCTCCAGAGAGTGAGATATCAAATGGGACGACACCTGAACAGCGGAGTTTATTCAAGCAGAATGTGAAGCAACCGACTGGTGAGTGAGGCTGTGTCTGGAAGTGACAGCTCAAGATCTGCTGTCGAGACTTTTAGATGCTTGTTACACTGTGTTGATTTTCTGTCACTTTAGGTAAGACACTTAGTGCAAGCAGCACATCTTCACTCAGACAACACTTCTCCTGTGACATCTTACACTTGTGCATTTCATGATGCATTCAGAGGCTTCTGCAGTGCCTATTAGCCTCCATTCAGAAAACACAGCCTGCCTTTATAAAGCTGACGGACACAAGCAGACTTTCTCTGCACGCTGCCGTTTCACTGGCCCGACAGAAAGAGCGGACATGTGTAGACGCATGTCTATCTTGTCTACCACTGAGAATAAAGAAAACTTCATCCAGAGAAAGTAAGAAACATTTATGTTGTATAATAAAAAAGAATCCAAACACAATGACCTAATGAGTTATGAACCACATCCTTGTGAACAGGACGGCTCGGACAGGTGACAGCATGGAGGAGAAATCAACAGCAGTTGCCAGCAATCAATTACTGACTGGAGGCATGTGGAGACAGAAGGTGCGTGTGTGTGTTTGTGTGTTGGAGTAGAGACGATGGCGATAGTGCACTGAAGAAATGTCTCAACAATTTGTTCTTGTTCCAGGAGCACGAGAACCTAATGACCTCAAACATGGACCTGTCTGCTCTCCTACACGGCAGAGTGAAGTGCAGGAAGGGGAAGCCTCCCAGTACGAAGCAAACCAGGAAAGAAGCTTTTGATCGCTACATGAATATAATATATGGCCTGCCTCCAAACACTGAGGTTTATTCATCTCCTGAACCCACTTATTTTACCTGCTTCTTCAGTACTTCTTGGAGTATGCTGATGTCAATAAGTCACTTAAAGATGTTACAGGATACTCATTTCACATCATAAATCTACCACAAACTTGTTTTGTCAAAACCTCAACATATTTCTTTAAGGGGATCTACAAAAATAAGTTGTGTAATTTGAATGTTTTGTTCATTTTGACTTGGTACAGAGAACTCCTGTATACCATTAATGGTACTCTGCTGTTTTCAGTTTGATTTCGAGGACACCTTTGATCCAGATACATTTTCATTTCATCCCGGACCAAATAACAACAAGCCCTGTGAGCCAGACCTACAAGAAGACGTCCACCCTGAATCTAGATTGATCATTCCTGTGACTGTGGAGAAGGAAAAGGTATAAACTGTCATAAGCTGCCGTTCACTTAAGTTTATTGGATATGAAGGATTTAGGATTTTACAGAATCTACAGTTATTATATGCGTTCCCTTGTATATGTTAAGTCTTTTGTTATCCATAGTCAGGAAGCAAAGTTTTGGTCTCACCGTGCAGGTACAGCAGAAAAAGCCTCCAGCGTCAAGCTTTAAACCAAAGACCCTGATGAAATTCAAGCCGCAGCCTGTTGAGAGAGTGGTACCCAAGAATGAAGAGGTAAAATCAATGTACAGGCGACAGAAGAATGAATGACTCCAGAAGCATCACTCTCATTTGTGTGTAACTTGTCCCTGCAGCCTCCAGAGATAAATTCTCCAATAGAACAACCCAAACCCCAATCTCCTCCTCCTCCTCCTCCTCCTCCTTCTCCTCCTCGTCCAAGGACCCCTCATCCCCTAACACCTCGTCTAAGGACCCCAACTCCGCCTCCGCCTCGAGAACCCACTCCTGAGGTGCCGACGTTCCTCAAACAATTTGCAGATACTAGCTGGTTTAGAGACTTATTCGCTGATGAAATGGTATGAATACTACAGCGATATCTGTAATGCACAAAGTGGATTTGGTCCAGGTTCCTGTCTTGATTCATTGTCTGTATGTTTGTGTGCAGAGTATCCCCAGCACCCTGTCTCCAGAGGACTTCTCCTTGCAACTGCTGGACTCCCTGACCACCTGCAGCTCTCCATCCAAAGTGAAGATTGTTGTTGCACTGCAGAGCCTCCACAGCCAGGGCCTCCTACAGAACACAGACAAGCTTTACCAAGGCCTCGTGGACTTACTGCCTGCATTTGCGAGACCACATATGGTACCGTATGTCCAGGATCAAGATTATCACTCATTGAAGGGGGTGGTGACCAAATGTTTCATGTGTTTCAGTCGCCTTTGGAACGGACCGTGCTGGAGGAAATGCTGCATCTGTTGGTGCGTCTGAAACCGGCCAGTTGGGACCTTGTGAAAAAGCTTCTCACTCTTCTGGCTTTTAAAAAAATGTTTCTGGGGTGAGTCCAGCGATATTTAAATAATAATCATTAATCATGTCAATTAAAGATTAGATTACCGGTAGATTAGATAGAACTTTGTTGATCCCTTTGGGAAGACTCCCTCAGAGAAATTAAAATAGAGATTTTCAGTGTGATTTAAACTTTCTGCAATTATTTATAATGGGGAAATTGTAGACCAGACAGCTGTATCCACTGAACTGAGGAGATTAAATAAATGAATAGAATATAAAATACAAAATAATGTGTAAAAGCAAAAAAAACACAGAAATCTGTCTCAATAAATCAATTCCTGTATCTGTATCCAGACGAATCGAGCATAAACTAAAGGATGGTTTGGATCAGTCAAAACTTTTTTTAGAGAGTTTGGTCATTTAGGGTTGAGCCTGAAATCCTGCACTATCTTTTTGCTCTGTCAATAGGGAAACAGTGGTGCGTGTACTGACGGCATTAGGTGTAGACGAGGCAGAGCAGTGGCTGTGGTCTGAGTTGGAGAGCTGGGAGTTGGAGCTGTGGGACCAGTCCGACGTCTGGAAAAGCCTCCATGACAGAGCAGACTTGTGGCTGCAGTCATGGACCTCCAGATTCAAAGTACATGTTTTATTTAATGCTTCATTTTTCTCCCTTTGAAAACGGAGAGGCTCTCCCTCGGTGAATCAGCTCTCCGCTTGCTTCTTGTTCTGTGCTGTGAACTTAACCCCTTTAAATAGGAATGCATGAGAGCTTGTCTCCATGTTGTTGACTTGCATGCTACTTTAAGTGATTGACTGCTTTCCCGCTCTCTTTCCACACCACCAGGAACACAAGAGGTATCTGCACTTCAAGGGTTCCGCAAAACAGAAGCTGTCATCCTTCAGCGTGGTGGACGTGCTGAACTATTTCTGCTCCATCCAAAAAGAGGAGGAGCGCAGAAAGGCTCAATATGTTGCACCTGCTAGTCACAAAAACGCTGTACTTCTACCCTTATATGACTGGTAAGTCAAAAATCATTCACATGCTGTATAGTAGTTTCCTATTTGTTCTTTTTCTGCACATTTCTTTAACTTTTCGTGTCTGCTTGTGTAGTGTTTCCTCACCAATCTTTCGTCTTGGAGAGACTCACAGTATGTCCAGGATACGCAGGCCACCAGGTAAAATTTCCGATAACTGCTTCGATTCAACAGTATGTTCAAAATGAGTTGTTTTAACACCCAATGGATTCTTGTCACACAGGAGTAACTCTGCCTCCACTGCGAAACCGTCCCTTCCTCACACACTTTCCAAATTTCATCTCTTTGCCATTCTCTCGAGTCACACTGCGCCCCTTTCACGTCTACTCGGACGAGGACTGGGTGAAGGCCTCACCTCACCGCTACTTCATTCAGCAGCAGTCCTACGTGGAGTACTACAGATGATGCTTCACAGTCTGTAATATCCCCATTAATGTGGCGTTCATTTTTCAATATTCAACTGACTCTTGAAACTTTGCTTTGACTGATTTATTCAGTAACTTACAGCCTGTAAATCTATTCACGTGATACAAGGTCAATTTGGTAAATTCACTTACTGATAATAGTGACACTGTTTGACTCAATATACAAGTGAAATTAATACAAAAAGCACTGAATGTTTTTAAACAGATAGTGAAGAAATTGCAGCATGGAATATATTGAACAGCAGAAAGGCAAGAGTACACGAATTAGTGAATAAAGCAGATAAAAACAATAAACACCAGGTAAATTAAACCTAAGAATATCTTAATGTTACATTCATCTACCATTTAGAGAAAATGATTTATACACACAACAATGTCGGCAAATGATGTTAAAGGCACAAGGCTGTAACCTTCGATGAGGCAGAAGTTAAACATCATCCAAAAGTAACAAGTTATTCTTTTTTCTGGCACAAACTCATGTGCAGTGTCATCTCCATCTTTAAATCGGTCCGTTCCTAAAGAGGAAACAATATACATTTTAAATGTTGCTGTAATCTTTGGATCCATCTGACGATCACTATTCCAACAAGAACAAACCTGTTAATTTGGAGATTATTGGGCCTCGGAAAAGAATGGTATTCTTGTAATTATTCACTTATGTAAATTGGTCTTTTATGCTGGTGAGTGAGCGTCCCCTGACTTCTGCTCTAGTCCACCAAGTCTTTGTCATAATTGAGCAGGTCACAGGTCAGAGAGAGGTCAGAGCGCCCACTGTCTTTTACCACCCTATTGAGATGGCTGCTGGTCATACTGATGTCTGTCCTTTCATCCAGTGGCCAGTCTAAGAGCTGAGCACTGGAGGGCAGGTCAGGGAGGCCCGGCTGGTAGTCCTCCAGGGGGTTAGGGTACAGTAACTGACGGAGGGACGGCATTCGCACAGCCATCCTCACCAGGTCCGTGAGACCAGATATGGAGAGCGGGTTCAGGGCTAAAGCTAAACTCTTGAGGGCCCTGCAGCCTCCCAGTGAGGGCAGTAGGAGTCCCAGCAGGCCATCAGTCAGGCCACAGCCACTTAAAGAGAGGTGCTGTAGGCTGCTGGAGGTCTGAGAGAGGAGGCGGCGAATAGAGGGCAGGGTGGTTTCATCCAGACGGTTCTCACTCAGATCAAGCTGCTGCAGTGTGGAGGCATGGTGGCTGCAGGACAGATAGGCGAGGTCAGCCGGGGTCAGGCTCAAATATGGAAGCTCCAGGATCGTCAGAGGCTGAGGCAGAGAGCTGTAACAAAAGAGAAATTAAACAGATATTCAGTATAGTGCTACAGGGGGAGAGATTATGGGGAAAGAACAACAAAAACCAAGTTTAAAGCAAGCTGGCCAAGTCTCTTATTTTTTGTTGTTTTGACTGTTTAAACTGTTCAGGGGTTTAAAAAGTCTAGAAATGTCATTTAGAGGAAAACATATGAAACATGTTTTGTTGTTGTTATCATTGGTTATTTTCTTGTTTCACTGATTAACTGTCCATACTGTAAAATTGCTTGTTTTGTTTGGACCAACTGTCCAAAAGTCAAAGATGTTCAGTTTACTGTCGCATAAGACAAATAAAAGCAACAATCCTTACTTTTAACCTGCAATATATTGTTGTTTTTAAATTTCAGAATAACTTTAGTGACTAATCACTGATCCATGAATTACTCATTGTGTTATAGTTTCAGCTCCATTTCTAGATAATTATGTTGCATTTAAATTTCCTGTATCTAAGGCTGAACAAAAACAACAGTTAAAGAATCTGTCTTTGATAATACACAAAAACATTTGATAATGGGACATTTAGTTGGTTGAAGGTGAAGATACAAAGTTAATAGATCAGTGTTCATGTTAAACAGGAATGGATTCCAAACCTGAGCAGCACACGAAGTTGTCCTGGCAGACGCAGTGCTGTGAGGCTGAGGCGTCGCAGCTCTTGCAGTTGTGCCAAACCCTGTGACAAGTCCCTCAGGGCCTCTTCTTGGCCAGGGTGGTCGCGACGAAAGTCTAAGTTACAGTAGTGCAGCCGAAGTGAGTGCAGCGCAGGGAATGTGGAGAGCAGAGGCAGCAGCTCAGCCAAACCAGCCACTCCGAGGCTGCTGTAGCGAACATCGACGCCCAGGAGACCCTGGTGAGGCAGGAGGTCGAGCAGAGTCCTGATACTTGACACGGTGATTTCCTCCACCCGAAGGTACCTGCACTGAAGCTTCAGGGGTCCTGATGTGTTGAGGGCCCCACGAACACGCTCCCAAGATCGTGCATTGACGAAGAGATCAGCTCGCACATGCACCAACACATTAATTCCTACGTCTTTTGCCTCATTTTCCTTTTTGTTGCTTCCTAACCCTGCCAATATGCTGTCTCTTTGCCTCTCTGTCTCCATCCTCCTCCTGACTCCCTTAATCTCCTCATCACCTACACTCCCCGACAATGTCATCCTCTCTGTGTCACTGCTTTCCTCATCTCCATCAGGTTCTTTTCCCTTCTTCCACTGTCCCCTCTCTCTTTTTATATCCTCTTCTCTCTCCATGGCTGAGAACCTTTTTCTCTCCTGTTCTCCTTCTCTCCTCTGTTGCCTCTGTGCTGCAGCTCTGGCCTGAACCACCATGGTGCAGAGAGCAACAGTCAGGGACCAGCCCCCCATTGGGTCTCCCATCCCTCCTTCATCTCCTTGGAGCCCACAGAGGTCCAGTATCTGCAGAGCACATCTAGGAAGCAGAAGGAAGACAATATTGATAAGTACTGAAGTCTTAGAGAACTTTAGTCAGCACATGAATTTAAAAAGCATTTTAAACATTTTGTTGTGATAAACCTCTTCAGTATCGGTCTATATCAACCATTAACAATAATGATCACATCAATACTTCCTACAAGTTTAAAGACAATTATTTTGCTCCTGAAAGTCAAGAAACAACAAACGGCAAAACAAAAAACCTGAGGACGGTTGAACATTCAAAGTAACTATGTGTGTATCAGGCAGCTCAACTTGTTCTGCAACTTTACAGGAACACAAACATTTACTGAGCAATTGTTGGGCTGATATTCGTCATGATCCCCAGGTTCCTTGGCCGGAACAGCTGCTGTGACAAATACCTCAAACTCTGTTCAGAATTCTTCATATTCATAGTTTACTCTCTGACTATTGGAGATAAACACCAATTTCTAAAGACTTTTACATGTTTTTTTAACTGTTATTTTAAGGTTAAACAAAAGTTGCATAGAAATCCAACCTCATAGATAATGCATTTAATGTATATCTTCGTGTTTCCATTTTTTCTGAACTGTGCTATGAAAAGAAGCTGCTGGTTTCAGGTTGTTTCGTGACGGGGGATCCGGATCCAAACCCTCCGGACAGAGGAACTCACCTTCGGTCCGAGAGTCCTCTGACAACTGCGAGTAACAGCGCCTGGATGCAGAGTCGGTTGGGCGAAGTCTGCCCTTGTCTCCTGCGCCCTCCGACACGCAGGCTCCTCTCGGGCCACCGTTGCACCAGCTCCCCGACAGCCAGCGGTCTGCAGCTGGAGAAGGCGGCCTCCAGCAGCGGCGCGAACAGCTCGCTGGGCACCCACCTCAACCAGCCGGGCGACGAGCTGTGGTCGCTCACCACCTCCCGGGCACAGAGGCGCACCAAGGTAAGAACCATGTCGGCAGCAGCGGAGCGGGACGAGCTTTTAAAAAATACTGCAGCGACTCATCCCCCGAAGATGAAGCGACTCGCTGAAACTAGCCTCCGCGCTAAGATTAGCTTTATGGCAGCAATTCGACGCGGTCTTGTAAAGTCCCCCAAAAAAGAATTAATAAAAAAACCCGATAGCTTCTGGGATTAAACACTAAAATAAACTGTGCAGCGACGACTGGAAAGAGTTTACGAGTGAAATATAAAGCGTTAGCACATGCTGCTAGCTAACGAGATAAAGTAGAAGTGAGGAAGCTGCAGCTGGAGCAACTGTGTTTACAGTCTAGACTGACGCACGCCTATGATGTGGCACGCAACGGTGAAACGTCATGACGCTGAGGATAGAGCAGTTTAAACCAGGAGTTGTTGTTTGTGCACTTTTCATTAATATTTCTGCTTTTTAATCTTCATTTCCTGCAGGATCTTTGTAGTTTTACTGTCAAACAGTAAATAAACAGTGTGTACATATAAGGTTTGATTATACTAAACACCAGCCTCTGTATCTATGTATGGAGATGATACTGGAGAATGTTTTTGACTTATGTAATACAATGTATGCTTAGTGGGACCGTCAGTCATGCTGACAAATGTGCTGCCAATTTAGGCCCTGACCTTTTACCTTGTGTGTGCTTCAGCGTTCGTGCTCGATCAGCAGAAAATCGGACGCTGTGTTAGCATCTGTATTACCTCCTCCTGAACATCTGGTTTGGGGGAACCTGCCTCACATTGGATTTACCATCTTTTATAATCCAGATTCATCTGAAGTCTTTTATAAAATCGAATTATTTAAATCATACATTAAATCATACATGAGGTCAATTTGCTTTAAACCATGTAACAATGTCTTGTTACACACACATAGATTACGTTAAATCTTCCACACAATTTGCTTTTTCAAACTTTGTCTAGAAATATTACATTCATATGTTACATACATATTAATTGGATCAAACAAACGTAATGATCCTCCCTTGTAACCCAATCATCTAACAAATCTGTGTGACAAATGAACCTTAAACATCATTTACATCAAAAATACTCTCTGCTGAGATGGTCTAATGGCGAACCACTAGATGGAGTCAAAGGATTATGCAGACTGAAAGAGTATCTGCGCATGAACATTCCATCCATCCTTCTATTCTTTTTCAAAGCATATAGACAAGACAGATCTTTGTCATTACATAACAGGAGGCTGTGCCTCAGGGGTTAGAGCGGTCATCCTCTAACAGGAAGGTTCAATCCCAGTCTTCCCCTTGTACTGTTGAGCACCATGAGTCTTCATCGGGACTAGAAAAGCTAAAAAAAACAGACCATTTACCATTTTTCTGGTCCAAATGGTAAAAGTGATGTTTTTTGTCTATCCTCTTAAATGTTTCTACATGTATTTGGTTTGATCTTATGTAAGTCATTTGCAATTTGTCTGTTTATACAGCATCCCTATATGTCTTTGACTGGAGCTGACATTAATACACTTATGTTATTCATTTATTTTACGCATCTGGTCATTGACTGTGACATGGTCATATTTCATCTCTGATAACAGTTGAAATGAGAAGTGCTGTTGTTTGAGGAATATGATTATGATGATGGTGATAAATAATATGGTAATAAGTGGATTCATATCACAGGAGGAACTCAGGCTTTAAATTTATGTCTCGGCTATAATTGATACTTTGTCAATGTAATCAGTATTTCTAGAGGTGAAGGACACACAAACACACACACACACACACACACACACACACAATAATTTACTGCTACAATCCTTTCAGGTGACTTACAGGGATCAAACAGCAACAGAGAATCCTCCTGTTTTGATCATGTCATGGTTTTACTCACTCCTCTGACTTTAATGACTGAAAATTCATTTGTGTGTGCGCTAACAATGTATAGATGGATTTCTGACTGAATTAAACCTCAGGAGATATTTTGATCTATTATCATAGGCAGTGTGTTACTTATAACTTGAATGAAGCAGCATGCACAACACCAAGACCCTGAATCTAATCCCTCCCATGAAAAAGATCTATTTCGATTAATTTTATGGCCATTACTGTGTTTACATTCCCTGGATTTCTTTGTAGTTTATTCCGTTCCATTTGAGATACATTGTGCACATATGTCTCGTTATTTTCCAATGTGTGGACTGTTAACTAGGCAGCTTATTAAACAAGATGAGGCTTTGGATTGCTTTTCCCTTTATTTTCAGGCAGATCTGTCAGAATTTGATACGTCTTGAATCTGGACCAAACCGATTTGTTCTACTAAAATTGGTGAAATAAACACCATATGCTCGACAGACTGGCTGAATGGAAGCCTCGGGCAGTTGTACAATAAAACAGTGAAGAGAGAAAACACCTCTTATTGTTTCACTTGGGGGAAAAAAGAACAATTGTCTTGTTTGCTGTCCAAAAATCCCTCACAGACACTTTCAAATACATTATAACTGAAATAGACAAACATCACTCCATGCTGTAGTAACTATTCAGTTACTCGAGACAGAGTTTGTATTTCACCTCATTCATATCCTTTTAGGACGCTGACTGAACATATTTTGAGCCTCGCAGCCTGTCACTAATCTTGTTTAATTTAATTTGACACCCAGCTCCTCCTGCAATCTTCAAATCCTCAAATGGAAATATCCACACACACAAGGATCCAGTATCCTGATTTCCCCACCAGTCAGTCAGAGTCAGAATTATACATTCCTGATTATTCTCTGCTCAGAGATAATTATGGTGCCTGGGCCACTGATTAATTCATGCAAGAATTCAATTTCATAGATGTGCTGTGCCGCCACCACTCTCTTGACATTTCCCCTGTCACATTAACTGTCATTTTAAGCATTCAGCGGTTTCATTTGCATTTTACAAGAATGCTTCACCGCCGCACCATCGGACCATAACCTACCCAACCCCCTACACTTCCATCAAACATATACCCTACAGCATATATGGTGTTTGTGCCAGACATGTAGTGGGACATACAAGATATCACCTTAAGGTTAAGTCTCCCTGCCTTGACACAAAGCACTTGACTAAACCGATATGCAATATATCCTGTGCATGTACAGTTCTCGTTGTAGTGCAGTAGCTGCTGTTCTGCTTGTCCGAAATGACTTTTTGCTGTTGAAGCCAAATTTCCCATCTGCTCACCTTTTGTTTTCAGGTTTTATCTGTATGAAATATTTCACTGGCAGTCTAGGAACAATGCCAGACATTTTGTCCCCTGAAATAACACAGCTAATGGTGCCGGGAAGCAAACATTTAACCTTTCAGTTTCCAAACATAATTAATGCATCGTAAAGAAAACCTGTTAGGTTTTTATGTGATGTATGAATTTCTTGAATTCAACATGAATAAATAATGGCTGAATTTATGATGGATTACATATTACATATCAATTATCCTCATTTGTCTGTAATGAAATGTCAAATCACAAACTGAAATAACTTCAAGCTTTAGGCATAAGAATTGCACTCACTGCATAGGAGTGCTAAATTATGTCCGATAGCATAGTGGCTGTAGAAATCATAGTAAATGTCATCAGCTCCACCAGTAATGGGCCCCTGCTTCCAAGTTCCATTGATTTTGCCCTATAATGGTGAAGGGAACAGAGTAAAGAGGAAACAAAGGAATCACTAACAGTATATTTATCTCAAAAGCAACTGAGACAAAAGAAAAGTGGAGCGGTCATGGTAAAATTGATCCTTTCTTTCCATTGACCATTTATTAGTCAGTGTGTGTATTTTAGTTTTTGTCTTGTCAGTTGTAAACAATATGACGCATAGTGAAGCATTTGGCATGCAGTGAATCTGAGCATACTTGGTTAACCAGCCTTGTGTGTTGGACAGGAAAGTCGACAAAACCTCAAAATAATATGGAGACTAATATCTCAGGATTATCTCAAATATTGAAACAATATCTTTGAGCAAAATCAAGTCTTGCAATGAATAATCCTTCAGCCTCATGTTATAAAAGTCCATTTGTTTCAGCTTGTTGAGCACTGCCCTTGAGATGAGTAGGAAAGCAAAGTGATATATTGGTTTTGACAAGTTAAAAGCAGCTTCCCCTGGTTGGGTACAGTGAGGCTATCCTGCAGAGGACAAACTGTCTCCGTCAGAATCTGTCGGAAACCGCTTGAACTTGTTCCATTGAACTTAAAACGCAACAGGAAATTAAAAGCCCTGCTCTTCTACAACTCTTCATCCATGTCAGAGTTTTCCTGCGCTTCACCCCGCTTGCCATTTGAATGTGCGTCAAAATGAGAGCAACGGTACAGTGTCAGCACTTTGCCGAAATGTCCTCACTACATAAGGTTTAATCGTCAAACTGGGCCTCACGAAGGCAGAATTACACAGACACACAGACAAGTCTGTCATGGTCAAGGATTCGGCAGATATCTCCTTATGATTCATTCGTCGCAGCTCTCGAACATCAAAAGGTTAGAGCACTCATATTTCTATTTATTACTCAGAAACATACTCAAGTGCTGTAATATCGGTCCAATATTTAATGAAGACTGTTTAAAGCTGAGATTGACTGTGAAGGAAACGCCTGTTAATTCACGTCAGATCTTCATCTTTGGGATCATTTTGCATCATCATTATAAAACCTGTCGTCTCCTCCTGCCTAATGAACTACTCCTGTCTCAGTCATTAATCAAGCTGTAATTATTCAGGTGATTTACCTTCAGGGCTAATGACCCAAAGAACTGAAGGACTTTTAAATAATCTGACATATTATTTAGAAAAAGTGTCGTCTGGAGTCGCTCATTCACAACAGGGCAATTATGTTTAAGTTGCACAGGCGGATTTATTGCTTTACTAAAGAGGGGGAATTACTCTGATCGTTAAGAATTGTTGAAAAAACACTGTGCACTACATGCACAGTACCAAACGGCAGAAAAACAAAGCAAGCACCTGGTTACTGAACATACTGAAAACAGCCAGATATAGCAGTGGGAGGAGACCAAAAACAGAGCTAACAGAGTCGATATTGAACATGCATTTAACACATGACACTAAATTAATGTAAATGTTGCAGCATAACTGCAGAATGTTTAAAAAAGCACCTTAATGTTAATAAGTTTCTGTTTGAGTTTTAAAATGTGACAATATGACAGGAATGTGATTACAACTTGTTTCTGCTGACATGTTATTGCATATCTAAATATGGTTGGGATCAGATAGTTCTTTTCATTTCTGCTTTATTGATGTGGACGTACCCTTTTAAAAAGAAAATCTAACCTGCGGGGGCTTCAGATGGTAATTATCTTCCTGTACTTTGTGTATAACATGTTGGTGAAGTGGCTCTTAGATTCAGTCAGGAGGCAGGACAAAGATAAGACAAATGGGATGCATGTGTTTAACGCAGACTCCTTTTCTGGCTCATGTTCCTCTTATTAAATTCATTTGTCATCACTTTGTTGGCTGCTTTGTGTCACATGTCACAGAGCACTGCAGGAGCTTCCCTTCTCGCTGTGTTGATTGGAGGTGCTGAGTGAAGCATCTCCTCCAGGTACGCAGTGAGGATTAAACCCCAGCTGCTGCCATCACGTCACTCGGCAGTGAATCACTTGATTCAGGAGGAAAATGAGTGCTGCACATTGGGCCACATTTTGGATTGTGAAAGCAGATTGGCTGCATTCAAAATGCGATGCAAATGTTCCTGACTGCCAATAAGTCCTAATTACCGAGGTGTTGAAAGGTGCCAGTTTAGGAGAAAAACTATTATGGAAGCGATGAGGCAACTTAACCATTTCTTTTTTCTCTGCTGTACAGCCACATTTCCTATAAAACTTTAATCACACAGGAAGCCTTCCTGCTGCTTCTGAATGGAAATATGTCCAAGAACATAAAGTGTTCACTTCATTGAGTTTTCATTTTGTGTTTCCCTCTTTTATCGCCCTTGTGTCTTGCGTGCCTGCAACCTGCAAGGCATGATCACATTTTTTCAGCTCTTTGTTCAGTTGTTACCATAGAATTACCTCATACACGCTGGCTCTCCTCAGTTCCTGAAGAGTTTATATAATATATCTATTTCAGGTTAATTAGTGGCGTGTGGAAGTAACCTCCCTCTTTCCATCAGGTGAAACTTCAGCGGAGGGGGAGAGATTTGAGGTCACAGACAATCAGTGTGGTAACAAACAGGAACAGGATTTAATCACCTCATCTATTTTTTTTATATGCACAAGACTGTGTGTGAAACAGATTAGTCAACTGCTTGACAAATAGTTGCAGTGATCACACCAGCCTGTGGAGCCTCAGTGATAAATTTGTCTTATTAAACTCACTTCAAGTGCTGCTTTGCTTTGACCTCAGTTTTGTCCACGAAGGTGAACTGAATCACAGAGTTTTTAAGAAGTCATTAGCTGTAAGGAGCAAAATACATTAACAGACTCAAGTTAACAAGGTGAGCTGCGTTGTGGAGCGAAGCTTTATTGAACATTTGCATTTTAGCTGTGCAAGAGGCATGAATCTAGCGATAGAAATGTCGTTCGGTTGGTCCATTATTTTGGTCCAGACTGAAATATCACAACCATTAGATGGACTGCCATGAAACTGTGGCAATTTCATAACTGCTCCTCCTGCTCAGAGGAAAATAATAGACCCATTGAATCACCTCCTTTTTCAAGCTGGCAATGTTTAAGCTTTGAGGACCTTTGGTGGTGTTGGTTAAATATTGTTTCTCTGTACCACATCGCATTGCATCTCGACGCTGTTTGTCAAAGTGATTGATTGATTCAAAACAACTCAATGCACATTTTTGTCGTTGCAGGGATCAAACCTTCTACACTATATGTGGCACATTCTCAACATGGTGCTGCTTGTACTCTTCTCACTACCACTGCCAACAGCGATCAATACGTATGGCGACCTTTTCCTTGTTCCACTGACTCCTCCCTTATAGAGCCGTCAAGCTTTCCCTGTCTCTCAAGGTTAATTTCATTTGAGCTACCAGCGACAACTACTCTCTTGTACTGGCTGTTTAAAGGTCCTGTCTTATTGATTACAGTGAAATTAAATTATGCCTCAGTGTAAAGTGTGGCTTTGCTCTGTTGGACACGGGTAATGATTCTGTTATATTCTCAACTTCACTTCTTCTCTTCCTCGTTGAATATTCAGTCCATTAATTTGCAATTAGTTGGATCTAATGTGTTTTATTTTGCTGAAAACATTTGGCTCTCTGCAGGGTCATAAGAGCTTCCACCTGCTGGGAAATGCAGTTTTACATTATCTATAATAAAAACTGCTAATTTATTATTTAACTTCACAGATAAGCAGAGGGTATTTAAAAGTTCACAAGGATAGGAATGTAAATATGAGCATGCTGTTTTAGTCACAGTGCAAAAAACCACATGTGCAAACCACCAACACAATGGACATAGTGCCATGAAATCTGGTAGAGACGTTCATGATACCATGAAGAAGTATATCATCCAAAATGTATTTCTTTCACCCAAACTCATTTCATGAAGACAGAAACACAAAAGCATCCACATTCTGATCATTTCATTCTGTTCTGAATGGCGTCGGTCATTGGTCCATGGTAAATACAGGAACACACACCAGCAAAGTGACCTTATTGAGCAACAGCCATAAAAGACATTTATTACCCTTTACAACGTGCCACCAGCATGAACACGCATACAGGAGCATAGAAAACTGTACGCGGTGGAGTAACACTCGGCCTCAACAGGACATTTTCCCTATGACGTGACAAAATGGTTTTCCTGGAAATAAAGTGTTCTTAGTGAAAGGACACACAACGAGCAGGATGATGTCGGACTCGGTGTGGCCGCTGTTGGCCTTCTGTCTGGTGTTTACCCCTGGGTGTGTCCGAGGCTGTTCTATCCAGGAGTTTGCCTGCAATCAGGGGTTGTGTGTGTCTGAGGATTGTGTGTGTGACTTCACGGACAACTGTGGAAATGGCAGCGATGAGAAAAACTGTGAGTAAAATATACAGTATAATGGTAAAGAACAATAAGAAAATTGAGTAGACTAGAACAGAAAGTAAAAAGTTCAAAGATAAAAAGCATATTTAATATGCTGCTCACTGGGGTAAGTGCAAGTGAAACCTAATTTCCCAGGATCGTAACCATGGAGAGCAAATTACCCTCTGATGAGGGTTGAAACAGGTGAATAAATATAGATATCCTTAATGTGAAATAATATATCTTTCAAAAGCATTAAGCCTCTTTCCAGCTGAAGAAAGAAATGTCTTTCGCCCACAACTATAATTTCAAGGAAACCATGCAATGCCTGTAGCTGTGACTGGGTAATGGCTGCCTCGACGTCTGTTTTGTGTTATTGGCTTTTAACGATTAGGAAATTAGGTCATTTAGTCTTCTTATCCCACTCTTATATTTAATGTCTTCCTAAGAATGGTGTTATAACACTAGTATTGAACATGATTTCAACACAGTGCTTCCACATAAACTAAATGAATTAGTTAAAACGTATTAATAATTCATCGATATTGTTTGATTGACTCACACTTGGGCCCGCAACAGTACCCATGGTATGATACTATACGTCTTGCAAAATAAAGGATGTTTTCAAAGTCCCCATAGGAACCTTTTAGCTTTGAATGTGCACTGCTCTAAATTACAAGTTGTTTTCTACCTTAAATAAATATTAATGTATCCTCATATTAGCCCCTGCAGTAACACACATCTTTTAAAACAGTGACTTCACATAATTGTCGCCTTTGAAGGTTAAAGCCAGTGGGCAGAGGATGTGTATCCTAAATATATGTTCATGTAATGTGGTGCAGGGTGACTCTTCCAAAAGTTGGAGAAAAAAAAAATATATATATATGATAAATATTCAAAGATAAACAATGCATATATGTGAAATACAGACCTTACAGAATTTAAGAATCTGTTTGATCACCTCCAGATACCTGCAAGTAAGAATCATTACAAAAGGATTTGTTATTGGAAGCATTTCTTCCACATAACAAACTAAAGAACTGACTATCTTATGCTAAAAGTATTAGTTATATTGGCACAAAGAAAAAAGCTTTTGTGAACTTTATTAATTTTTTATATATCTTAAAATGTAAATCTGATTCATGACTGGCATATCTCTGAAAATGTTGTGTTGCTATCTTGCTAATGTTTTATATACCCTTGATGCACATTTGGCTATTAAATCAAAAGGAATCAATTTTTCTCACTTAGTTTCTGAGTTAATGAATCTTTATTGTGTGAGGAATCCAAAGCACAAATGATGGTGAAATACTGTATATTTGAAACACAGAAGAACACATGTGAAAGCAGCTGAACAGTTCTGAGTGTTATTATTTTCTATTGAAGGTTCCACATATAAGAGGTGTAACTTTGAGCACGGGTTCTGTGACCTGATTCAAAGCTCAGAGACATTTTCTGAATGGACGAGAACAACTGAAGCCGCCGGACTCAAACACGACCACACCAACGCATCAGGTTAGAGCGTGTCACATTTGCCATATGGGACATTTTAAATGCACAAGCTCCACCTTGCTGGCTTTATTCAATGTCTCTCATTCACTCCTGCAGCATATTTCCTGTCCTTGTCTCCTGATGGAGGAAACAGAACCACAGCAGATTTGATCAGTGCTGTTTTCATACCCACTCAGACTTGTCAGGTAACTTCAGCATTAACCACAAAGCCATGATACACATAATATCAACCGTTGAGCCTCTTTTTTTATCCATCAGATGAGTTTCTACTATTATGTCGGGGCCACACATGGAGATCTTCAGGTCCTGGTTCAGACTCATCCTCTGGGTCAGAGCACAGTGACGTGGGAGCACTTAACACAACCGCAGATGGGAACATGGCTGCAGACAGTGATTCAGTTCTCCAGTAATTACAGTTTTCAGGTCTGTAATGTTCAGAATTTACCATTATGACATCTATGACATCTGCATGGAGGTGCAGTGGTTAGTGGTCTCACAGCAAGAAGGGATTTGAGCCTGGTTTGCATGTTATCCTGGTACCAGCCTTATCTCCGGGTAATTTCACTTCCTCCCACAGTCCAAAGACATACGGCTTGAGGTGATAATTGCCCTGCGGGGCGAATGTGAGTGTAAATGGTTGTGTGTCTGTATGTTGGTCCTGCGATAGGCTGGCGACGTGTCCAACATATACCCCACCTCTCAGCCAGTGTTGGCTGGAATTGGCTCCAGTCCCCCTTGACTCTCAAAGGAAAAGCTGTGCATATAATGGATGGATGGACATTTTATATTGCTGTTTCTTAGTTTAGATTAGATTACTGTAATTCAAATGATAGATTACAAGATATTGAATATGACAATAAATAAAAGGCAGGCATCATGTGGGCAAAAGCACCTGAAACAAAATTAATATATTGGCATAATTATGATTTTCATTTTATACAGTATGGTTTCAGAGGCCATATTTGCTAATATAGTGGGTGTTAGGTACAGCATACAGTTCCTTATGACTAAAGTCATTACAGCAGAAAATGAGCTGAACACCAGGAGCCGTTTATGTGTAGTGAGGGGGTACTGACCCAGTCGGACCCTTCAGAGGCCATCTGGAGTTCGATGACACCTGCTGTTTGCGTCCTTCTTACATCCTCATTGTCGGCGTCAACCTTCACCATCAGCGTTCATTCACTTCCTGTTTCAAAGACATTTTAACGAAGTGGATTTATTCACTGCTGTGATTCTGGATGAGTTTAATTTCAGTCGTTTAACATAATGATCTGCAGTTTTTCACCAATTAACTTTTATTTTACTTAAGATTTTCTTTATAACTTTGAACATCTTCATTAAGATTAATGCATATAGAATATAAGATGCATGTATAAACACAAACACATAAAATGTAAATTCTGTAGATGACAATTACTAATCACTCCACCTTTGTCTCTGAAGGCTGCATTGACTGGATCACACATGATGACATAATCCACTGTTTGTTTAAATCAGTCATAAATGATGGATTGTAAAACTCCACTCGTAGAGATAAAGCTGTTGTGTGGACTTTGATATTATATTTATTTATCTTGTGTGTTATCTTATGTACTAGTTTCTATATTTTGAACTTTATTCCTGTATCTTTGCTTTTATTGTTTTGTGAAAAACACTTTATAACATTAGTTGTCAGAACTGCTGTACAAGAAAACTTTATGATTGTGTTATTATAATTAATATAATATACCACATAGGCAGAAAAACAAAATTGTGTAGAGAAATAATAAAAAGGTGAATGACTGACTGATATGTTGAAGGTTGTCTGTGCACCCTTGCAGGTTGTTATTCGTGGGGAACTTTCAGCTGACAGCGAAGCCTCCGAGGTCCTCGCCATCGACGACTTATCCTTCAGTCCCGGCTGCCTGACTGTGCCCGGTACTGCTACCATTAATAACATCTCACTACACAGACGGGGCGAGTTCAGCCCTTGACACTTTGAAATATCGCCACGCATAAACAGACTGCCACACACTTGTTTTGAATACTGATAACAGAGGGGGGACACTAAAGCACCCAGGACGGGATTCATAACAGAATAACTGAATCGTTAAAATAGTGCTTACCACACTGAATATGGAGCCACGATCTATGGGTTTATTTATGTGTGCTGTAGTGCGCTGCCTGCAGCTCAGTGATGAATATGATCTAGTTGAACATATTGGTTGGGAGTGTTTGATAAAGTACAGTCCACTTGACAATTCGAAGAGGGTTTTAACATGTTGCCTTGGAGAAAGATAGCTTTTTACCTGCAGGCACAAACTATAGCGTCTTTGCAATGGCTTTTATTCATCTGGTATAGGATCATGTGTTTGTTCCCTGACTGTAAAACATACAGGTAAGGAAGCCTCTTTATGGATTGTCTCATTTAGAAAACAGTCTTTGGCCATTTCTTTTCATGATGGAGCGTCAAAGTTAGTCTGATTGTAGATTGGCTTCAGAGGCAGAACTAACGTCAATGGAATGAATTAGACGTCAATAGTTGGAACTGAAGCAACAAAGTTTGTCATTGATTTTTGCTGAATGATGAGCTTGCACTCCAAAGACTTTTTTTAGTAAATAGATATTTTTTAAAAGTCAAATAGTTCCCACATGCTCATTTATTTACTAATGACAATGGGAGGGTTGCAGGAAAGGTCTCTGACAATAAGGTATTGTGTGAAAATCACTCCATTGGCTAAACTGCCATGAAAAGTAGAGCAGATGTTTTTTTCTCTAAAAGGTGAACAGCATCTTTCAGCTCAGTGTTTTCTGGTGCATTTCCACCTCTGTGTTCTGAGAATCTCTAAAGAATTCTCTTAACGCTTCCTGCTCAGCACCAAAAAGGAAACAGACAAAGTTAGCAGCTAACTGCTAAATAAAGTTGGGCCTTTAGGAGATAAATATTTCTCTAGGGAAGCGGTGAAGACCAAAACAAAGCTAAAAAAGACAGACAATTGGATTGGTGATGTTGAATTCGTATTTTTCATGTATAAATATGCAGCTGTTAGTACCATGTTTGCCATCTTTAGTCTCCAGGCTTAGTTAATCATGTCTAAATGGACGACACAGGTCCGGACGACACTTGGACTCTCTTCCATCTGTCTTTTACTCCCCAGAAATATCCCTGGCCTGTTCGAAAATCTGGTTAATCATATCAAAAACATTAAACCAAAAACTGAACTAAGGTTTAAGGGGCAATAGCTAGTTAAAGCTACATGGGAGTATTTCTGCCAGCAGCTCCATATGACTACATCATCTTTTATTGTCAGAGTGCCAATCCTGGAGAATTCACCAATGGGTTTCACATTAAAATACCAATAATGCTTTACTGCACAGGGCCAGGATTAATATGTATGGCACATCAGCACAGCCTGGCCTGTGCCTGTGCAGGGAGACATTGATATAGCTTTGATATGTGGCCCACATCTAATATTGTTAACTACATACCATAATGGTCATTTCCAGAGAATTCTTTATGTCCTATAGCCTTTATTGTTCACCCTATCACCCCCATCACACATACATTTGTAGAACTGAAATATTGGGTTCACAGCATCGATGAATACAAACTAATTGCACTGTTGCAGATAATGACAATGTAAACATTAAATACTGACCTTTAAATCTCCATGTACGCAAAATGAAATTGAGTTCATTTAAGAGTCTATTGATCAAACTATCTGAACTCATAATGACAAAAACCTTCAGGAGTCATTGATATCGACTGTGAGGTTTCTATCTGTTGGCTCTACATTTGATCATTTATCAAAATACCTCTAGCAACAGAATACTGTAATACCAAAATGTCTTTATTTTTCATTCCTGTGATAGAGAGCAGTGTGGCCCCTCCGCCGGTTTGCCCTCCCTCATGGTTTGACTGTGGTGGTGTGAAGTGCATCAAGGCAAGCAAAGTGTGTGACTTCACCCCAGATTGTCCCCACGGAGAGGATGAAGCCAGCTGCCGTAAGAAAGAAACCTTGTTGCCAAGTAACACATTCAAATAATCCACATTCCATTTGTACTCTTGGCCGTGAGCAGTGTGGTTAAAGACACATGCAAAGATTTTTATTACCAGTATGAACCCAGAGTTTCCTCTTCTTCTAGTTATTCTAAATTTAATAGGGGGATTTAAAAACTTTGTTTAAATGGTTGATACAACTTTCCACTGAAGGTCGCCTCCAGATATTGTGACAATCATTTCTTTGTATGTTATGACACCCAATTTAAATTATTAAAATTTTGTTTTGTGTCTATTTGGCACAGTAGAAAGGCCCAAATGCTACAATACCCATAAGCATCAACCACCATTATGGAGAAAGAGGTGCAATTCAAGCTCGCAGTTGAAAATATCATTAATTCAAAACACAGATTCCCCCTGAGGTTAGCAGTGCATGTGATATATTTTTAAGTATTATGATTGGGTTTCTCTTGCTGAAATGCATCCTGGGAGTTGGATTCAACCTTGAAGTTTGTATGAAAATAGGGTTGTACCTTGTGAACAAGGAACTGGATCATTTCTTACACAGTATTTAATCTTTTTTACTCATCATTCAACCAGGACAGTTTCATGGCCAATTGTAAATCATGCAACATTATCTGAAAATAAAATGGGGACTTCTTCAGTCTCATTTAAAAGATAGAATTAGTAGATGTCAAAATGTCCATTTTTATGAGCACTTAATAAGATTTCTCACCTCTTACGCCTTAAAAGTCAAAATTGAGAATTTAGTCTTGACTTCCCGAACACAAGTTGACACAAGAATCTTACCATAAGGTCCATTACTAATATTAATCAGTAATAATAACATAATCTGCTGAAGAGGATAATGATGTGATTGAAATCTCTTTTAAACACTAAAATGTGGTTGTAGTTCCAACTGCTGCTTCCAAAGACACAAATGAAACTGGTTCCTTTCCTCTACCCTTTCAGCCTCTGAGTGTGACTTTGAGGACGGGTCCTGCGGCTGGTATGAGCTCACCCTCGGCGACGGCTTTGACTGGGTCAGGGGCTCCTCTGAGGAGGTGCCTCCCGAGTACCACGGCCACCCACCACCTCTGGACCACTCTACAAACAGCACCGAGGGTAAAGAAACCACACACGTAGAGGAGAGATGCCAAAATTTGCCACGTGCATTCATTTGCCTTTATCTGTCAGTGGATGAGCTGATAAGAAGATATGTGTCCAGGGTGTTTGGTCAGAAATAACTGACAAAATATAATCTACAGATTAAATCAAGGTTTAGTGGAAGGAAAGAAAATCCATTTCCTGTGTGTTTTCTGAGATAAGACGTTCATGGGGAAATGCTTTCACAGCGTTCTGCACAATGGAAAGGAATTCAACATGCACTTAATCCATTCTGCTTATAAAATCATTCACTGAAATATATTCAATACAGTCAATCTGAAACACCGTTATTCTCCTCTAGATTTGTGCACCACAACATGTTACTGTATTTTATGCCCCATGACATCTTTATACTTTTCCTCCAGGTTAGTCTTAAGTCTTCCATGCATGGGTTTAACAGGAATTTTGTTGCAGGCTGACTTGTGCAAGTGTGTTAGCGGCACCATCTGTTGTTTTTGTTATGTATGTTATATGAGCATACTGTGAGATGAGGCTCTGTTAGGTGCAGATCTGGAGACTACCCAGGCAGTAAAAAAAGAAGTAAAATTTTTACTGCTCTCTTTTGGGTTCTGTGAGCATCCTGATGTGCTTCAAGCTTTGCGAAATGACACATATCCTGGAGGGAGGATCTGTTTGGAGATTTAGAAAATCTTACTGCGACCACCCAAAGACTTATCTGCTCTGCCTCGATGTGCAGGTATGTGGTGGTGATCAAACAGGGCTTATTTGGCAGATATGCACCAGATATCAGCCAAGGAAATATTCAAACGCTGTCACACCATTTACTCATACTGTGCAGCTTTGGGCACAATGGATTCATGCTGTTTTCACCCTGCCATAAACTAGGTGCCATTTTTTTTTTCTTTAAAAAAAGGTTTTAATGAGTTTTCATGAAGGCATTCCACCCTGCAAAGCCAAAAATACAGTAACAATGTAATGATAATATGAAGGGTCCATATAAACATATATCATATTGGAATGAAGCCATTGCATCCCTGTGCTGTGCACAGAAAACCTCTTATTCTTTATTCATAAGCTCATCTTCTTCTTATGGTTTGATGTGTTGGACTGAAATGGCCTCCTGCACATCACTGTTGCTTCTGACACACTTGCAGTTAATAAACAAGCCTTGCCACTGTCCTCTCAGCCATCTCGTTGCCATGGCGACCAGAGACAACTGGGTATGTTTTGTTTGTCTCACAATCCTTAATATACATTACATGTTGTAAAGCACAAAGGTCCCAGAGGGTGAGCTGTTTCTGAGAAGATGAATTTGACCCATGTGGCAACAACAAAGCACAGAGGCATTTAGCTGAATGGTAAATTAACCTGCCGACTGTCGGCTGCCATAGCAGTCCTGATGTTTTTTAAAGGTGACTCTCTGGCTGTCTTAGATTTGCCTCAGACTTTGAATATGATTTGAATATAAATTTCTGTCTCACTCACTGCAGGCCACTTCATGTTTGTATTGAAGAACAGCAGCAGTCTGCCTCCAAGAGCAGTTCTCAGAGGACCCTGGTTCCAACAATCCGCCTCTGGATGCTCCATGACCTTCTGGTGAGGGTCACACTGCAATCTGGCCTCTTCCCCCAACTTTGTAAAAAAGTTCCTCAACATGACGCCTCATCTTATCCAGAATCCTCCTATCCATAGATCCCCCTGCAATTTTAGACCTTTTCCATTTGCAGACTACTTCAGTGTTTTTCTTGATCTTCTGACATAATTTCACCTGTCTCGGCTCTGCTCTCTCAGCATCTCTCTTCACACTCACACACGATGAGAAGATATGTATCTGAATCCATCATGTTTTGACAGTTTAATGGCCCCTAAAAGTTTATGTCAAATGACAGATTAAATTTTTTTCTTCCTGGGTGATTGGAGGGGTACTCCTGGCAGAAAAGTGCCAGAGGTTCATAAATTTGCAGAAAGCATATGCATTATCACAAGAGCAATCTGTCTTTGATTTACAGTTTCTGATCCAAGGAAGACCTCTCAAAGGCATAATTCCACAAAATGCACATGTTGCTATGCTGGAATATAATTGTCTGTACATCATTTTTTTGCTTCCATTGTCTCCCTCATCTCCATCAGGCATTACAACGCAGGCATATCTGTGGGGGCCGCCGACATGTACCTTCGGATCAAAGGAATCCACAACAACACAGTTATATGGAGAACCTTGTACGACCAGGGAACCCATTGGAACCAGGTGACGGTGCAGCTGGGACGCATCACCCAGCCCTTCCAGATCACCCTGGCAAAGATCAGCCTCGGCGTGTTCGATGGGGTCTCCGCCTTGGATGATATCACCTTCAAAAACTGTTCGATGCCCCAGGCGGAGGCGAGGTGTCCCCCCCACACACATTTCCACTGCGAGCGCACCAAGGCGTGTGTGGAGCACCTGCAGCTGTGTGACCTTGTGGATGACTGTGGGGATGGATCAGATGAGGAGGGATGTTGTGAGTGTCTTGTTTATTCCCCTGAGACTTACGATATACCAAACTAAAAAAAATTAAGACTGATAATACTTATTACATTAAAATTGAATATGAAACTTCATAAAATTACACAAAACCTGAGTAAAAATCCTTTTCTGTCATGTCTCCCAGCTCCAGAGCTTCAGTGTAACTTTGAACATGGCCTGTGCAGCTGGAAGCAGGAGCAGAGTGGAGGAGATGTGTTTGACTGGACTCACACCCAAGGCCCCACTCCATCCTTCCACACGGGGCCCTTGAAGGACCACACGCTGGGCACCAGCTATGGCCACTACCTCTTCATCGAGTCATCCGCCCCCCAGGAGTTCAAGGACACGGCAGTGTTGCTGAGTCGAGTCTTCCAACCCACCCTCCAGCGCGACAAGGACCCCATCAAGTCCCGCCAACACTGCGTTTTCCGTTTCCATTACCACATGTTTGGATCGCATGTGTTCTGCCTGGCAGTGTACATGAGGACCACCTCCACAGGCCGAGGTCACATGCTGTGGGTACGATATGGAAACCAAGGAGACCTGTGGCACAGGAAGACTCTCTACCTCAACAGTGCTCGTCCGTTCCAGGTAACTAATCCCAGGATATATTTAATGCTCCAGGAACTGATACAAAAGAGGGAATCAAATCTTTGAATGATCCCCATGAAGTCACCTTGACTATAAACAGACATGAAGATATGAGCTTCAGGTAAACATAGTTTCCTGGCAGGCAACAATAATAAGAATCTGTATTTTACACCAGCAAAGTGTAGTAAAGCTCTATTTAATAGCTTCACCGCTCAAAATCGATGCCTTGAGATATATGTTCTGTCATCACTCATATGTGAGTGTTGCTTGATAAGCAGTTAAAGACTTTTCCTACATTGTGGCTTTGAAGACAAGAGCTCTATTTGTCAAAATAATTGACTGCGGAAGTGCTAATAGTAAAGGAGAAAAAAAGAATTCAGAAAAAATTCAGTCTCAGGCTGATCCATTAGCCTGCATACTCAAAATGACAAAGCAGAGTGATTTAACATCAGGATAGTCAGTTGCACCATCATACTCCCTCTGAATTTGCAGTGAAATTTAATGTAACCACAACTAACAACAACAGTCTCAGCTCAGAGCAACTAAAGAATCAAAAGGCAACAATAAGCTGCAAAGCATTAAAGTTAATTCAGTTCTTTCCAATGCCGCTATGGCTGAATAATGGTACAGTATTTAAACCATGTTTGCAAAACGTTATGCTTTATTCTGTAGTCTGCATGTACAGTGGACTTCACTGCAGTAGCATTATTAACATGAAACATTATCTTACACTACTTTAAAGCAATTTTTCTTGAAAGCTAACATTAGACTTTATTCGTTCTATATTTCCAAATAATTTTCTCCTTGGCAATGACACACATCAGACAAGCCAAGTGACTGCTGACACAACTCATCTGATGCAATAGCCTTTTAGTCAATGATTTGTTGCTTTGGAAAGCTCTGATTAAACTTAAAATTCAGGAACAGTACCGATGCTGACTGGCAAAGCAGCTAGCAAGGCAATGTGATTAATGTGATGGAAAGAAAATCCATTCAAACACACGATGTAAGTGTGTATCATGGTTTTGAGAAAACTTAATATCAAACTTAATGATGTTGTAAAAAAAACTATGATGATATTGTTAGTAGGCTAAATATTTTATCCAGAAATGTTCTCCAATACAAGATCACAACTGATTATAGTGAAATGAAAGAGGTTCTAAAGATGTGTAGAGACTCGTCAGTTTGAAGAAATGAAGCCTTCACCTGTACACATAAGAGATTAAATAGTTGGTGCACTTTACTCTTGCTCAGTCTAAATCTACGTCACCTTGTATCTTCTCACTTTCCTCGTCGTCAGATTTTGATTGAAGGTACAGTTGGAGATGATTTCACCGGAGACATAGCTATTGATGACCTTTCCTTCCTGGACTGTGTCCCGTATGAAGGTAAACATGAGAAGAAAAATGAACAAGATTAGGACATTTTTACACCACTGTTTGTGTTTCCTCCTCCACTGTTGTTTCTTCTGTGCTCTGTTTTAGGAGAGCTCCCCATGCAGAATACCACGACCCCTGCAGTGACCACCCCGGCCCCCACAGTCCAGCCCCACAGCTGCCCTGCTGGAGAGTTTGTGTGCGGGACGCATGGGGAGTGTGTTCCCCAGAGCAAAGAGTGCGACTTCAGGCCTGATTGCTCCGACGGCTCTGATGAATTAAACTGTGGTAAAATGTCTTTATCTGCATTGTCAAACCATAATGTTTCTGTGGGTTTTGTTCTTATCTATCGATTTGTCTCTTTCTTACTCCAGTGAAGGAACTGTGCGATTTTGAAGGAGGAGACACTTGTGGTTGGACGATCGTCGACCCCTCCCTTGTTCCAATCCATGCATTTCGCTGGTCACCTGATCAAGGGGAGAGCATTCATGATGGAGAGCAGTACCATCGTCCCATCAATGACCACACCCTGTGAGCACCAACAAATCTGATGATGGTATCAAATAGTCAATGAATCAAGTGGCTGATGGGGAAACATTTAATTGCATTCTACTTTAATCTACTTTAACCTTTCACGCAAAAATGCCAAATATTTGCTGTTTCCAGCTTCTCAGAAAATTATAAATTGATGCAAGTAAACTGAATATCGGAAAATACAGTTTTATTTTGTTTCTATTTATTTTAGATGTAGGTAGGTAGGTATAAAGGTAGGTATATAGGTAGGTAGTAAGAAAGAAAGAAAGAAAGAAGCAATCACAGTCCAGAGGAGTGTGTTGTTCATAAATACAAATTGGATAATCTTAAAACCTAGCATGTATCCCTCTTTCCCTAAATTGATCACAATTAAAGAAAGCTTGATAACAGCGAAGGAGAAAGGGTAGAAAGTACAAAATTCATACTAATTAGTTTCTTGGATTTTCTTTTTTGTGCATTATCTCTTTTTCATTTCACTAAAAGCAAAGAATTTCAAAAACTGGGCTGTGATACATAGACAGTGATCTGATTGTCCTTATCTATGTTTTATTGACTAGTGAGAACAGGAAACAGCGGTGGACTTTGTGTTTCAGTCATTTCTCCCCTCAGCCAGAATTGCAAACATTATCTTCTTTCATAACCTGGCTACAACTCCTCCTTCCTCAATCCTTCCAGCACCCTCGATTGGCTCGCAATCGATAAGGAGGCAGACATACAATAGGCATGATGCTGAGAGTGTGACGATGATGATGAGTGTTCATGGGATCACACATATATAAAAACCAATCATACTGACCTGTTTTCACAAAGCTGTACAATAGAGTACAATCTAAATCTGAAATCCCTGCTGCACTCACAGTTTCAGGACATTCTCATGACACTTTATTTCCTGTCGTTCCTGTGATAGAGGCAGCCCTGATGGTTGGTATATGTACGCAGACAGTTCAAATGGCTGCTATGGCCAAACCACTGACCTTCTGACCCCCGTCATCTCCTCCACCGGGCCTCACTGCACCCTCGTCTTCTGGTACCACATGAGCGGATTCACTGTGGGGTCACTGCAGGTGAGCAGAGCACTCGTTTTAGGTGTCCAGCATCAGAATTCAGAATTGAATGGCAGATATGTACATATTCATTTCTATTGCTCTCATAATATCCACAGGTGCTGCTGAAATACAGAAACGTCACTCATGAGGTTTGGTCGCAGACAGGTAACCAAGGCAATAGATGGAGACGAGGAGAAGTTTTTTTGGGCTTATCAAACAACTTTCAGGTCTGTAAATAATTTTTGTTGCTTCAAATGAATCACAGACGTTTTAATCATATTGTTTACACTCTATGATATTGTATAAAATATCTTTGTCTTCCACAATTTGTTGTGTTCAGTATGAGTTAATAAGAGCGCATAAGGTACCATATTTAATAACTCAGGCAGTAGGGGAAGGCTGAATGCAGCTCACATTCTTTTACCATTCAATCTAACTTGTGCAGGAGGAACTGTACAATTATTTTTTGTTTTCATTCGTTTTTCTGAGCTTTATTTGGCTTTATACTGTTTTTTTAATAGTTTGTAATTTCCTACAATATGAGATTTGGGTATTGATGAAAATTTGAACTGCCAAAATCCAGATGTGCAAACTTGCCAAGAAAACCTGAAGCTGTACTTTGGCTTCTATAAAGTACTATAAGGGTCTGAATACTACTAAAAGAGAGATGTTTTGACCAGATTTATTTACCTTGAGGCTGAAATCTGCTTCTTGCAACAGGACGGTGAATCCACCTCTAAGACATTTTTGTGGCTATTCCTTTTATTCTTGTACAAAAAACCATTTGCAATTGAGTTTCTTCTCTGAAAGTCCAACAAACAACTTGCTTGACTGATCTGCACACTGCTGCCTATGATTAGCCATAATATGCTTATTAGGTCCATGCAGGTTTGCAGAAAACTTGACATATCTTAGCAGAAATATTTTTCTGGCTTCAAATCAAATCAAATCAAATTTTATTGTCACATGCACCAAATAACTTAGCGTCATCAGAGCAGTGAAATTCTTGTGACCTGGCAGGCAACATCTACGCAGTAGACGGGAAATACAAGANATCTCAAAAAAATGATAATGAAATCACTCAGGGTGTTTAAGACAAGAAGAAAAATTAATACGAATAATGATAGTAGGTCATGTGATTTTTCTCATTTACCAGGAAACTGTATTCCTGCCTTTACTGTGTTAAATTAAAAAAGGAAGGGTAGCTCGATTAACATGAAATACTCATTATGGAGGCACGGAAATAATATCTTTCCATCGGACAATCTCAAACTTTCATTAGACCCTCTTTACCTCTTTTTGATAAGATTGTTGACTTTCAGTTTGGACTGAAGGACAGTCTCTCAGATGACTGTGTACCTCAGTGTAATTGGCTCAATTGCCATCATGCCAGGCTAAATTGGACAGGCAGACTTGATGATCAATGATGAATTGATTGAGTCTAATTTGGTCTAATGAGTCTTAACTTGTGTGTGACAGTAATCAGAGTTGCGATCCCCTCACGGTGTCCGTCTGCTGAGGTTATTCCAGGTCGTTATGACCACGTGCACAAAGAGGCTCTTTGGTTTCAGTGCCGTGTCCGATCCCATTAATCCTCGTCTAAAAATGTGATTATATTTACGTGACTGCATAAATTGAACTTTGGTTTCTTGTCCTTTGTCAGGTGGTGTTCAGGCTGAAGCGAGGGATCAGCTACATGGGCGATGTGGTGATAGACGATGTCGGCTTCCTGAACTGCTCCCCTCCGCTTCTTCCAGATCAACCATGTGCACCGGAGCAGTACGCCTGTGCCAACGGCCACTGCATCCCTCAGGACAACCTGTGTGACTTCATCAACCATTGCAGGGACGACTCTGACGAGGACCCCTACATCTGCAGTGAGGCGTCCTCTAATGTCTGATTGACGACACTAAACATTCATTTCCATTTTGATTTTGATCAATTGATTTTTTTTCATTGCTCTCTTTTTTAGAGGGCTTCAGTGGGCGCTGCAGTTTTGAGTTTGACCTCTGCTCCTGGCGCCAGTGCAGACAAGATGACTTTGATTGGCTCATCAAAGCAGGCAGCACTCCGACACTTGGCACCGGTCCATCCAGCGACCACACCATGAGGGACCCCTCGGGACACTACCTCTACCTCGAGAGCTCCTTCCCCCACCTAGTTGGAGATGTCGCCCGTATATCAGGACCTCTGCTCAGCCGCAGGAGCTCAGACTGCAAGGTGAGATCAAGGTCAGAGGTAGAAATGAATTGGAGATTGGGAAGCAACGATTTGATCAGTGCATTGAGATTCAGTGTTCAAACACTGTTTGACTTCTGAGCAAGACAATAAATCAGCATCAGCAAATGTTTACAGGCAGTAAATTATACCCACTAGAGGTCTAGCAGGTCTTTTAAAAGACAAATGTATGTTGAAATATGTATCCATACAAGTAGTTACGTGTGCAAAAACATTTATTTGAATGTTTAAACCTGTGTTAAGGAAATATTCAAATGTCACTTGTAGCCAATTTTGACAGAGGTAATATACTAACTGTGTGTGTGTGTGTGTACGCGCCCACGCGCCCGTGTATGTCCTCCAAGCCTGTCAGCCGGATGCTCCACTGGGAGAGATCTCTTGATTGACTGCCCGCTTTGCTTTGTGCCTCATATCTGTCTAATCCCACTCCCGACCTGTCAATCATTCATGCGGTCGGCAAAAGGCTCCAATTAAAGTGGAGGAAGATCTGTGGGGTGAGGGGGTGGGTGGGGGGTGAGGAGGACGTGCTGTCTCTACACTGAGATGAAAGGTGTCGTCGTTCTGTTGTAGCTCATGAACACACCTCGATTTGAAGAGGAGACCTACGAGAGATACCGCTGCCAAGAAACAAATGTCTCTCCAATCTGAACAATGTCAAGAGCAGAGGAGAAAAGTGCATCAATCAAGTGACATGATTAACACTTAACCGACTGATCTCTGTATGTTCACACTTGACCATTGAAAGGATTAGAAAGATAGAAGCACAGAAGGATTTAACTTGCAGTGTCTCCATTACAGCAGGGGTAATAGTAGTATTTTTTCAATTGCTTCTCATTTTGTGTCCTTTGCCAGATGCGGTTCTACGTTCACATGTCAGGGGACGGCATCGGGACCCTCAGCCTGTTCAGGAAAAGCGAAGGAAATCTTCATCTCCTGCTCAACCTGACAGGAGATCAGGGCAACTACTGGCAGATGAGGGAGATCCCACTGAGCCACACGAAAGACTTCCAGGTCGTGTTCGAGGGAAAAGTGGGCCGGAGCGCGAAAGGCGACATCTGCCTGGATGACATCACTTTCTCTCCAGGGTGTCTGCTCACCTCCTCGGATCAATTAGAGAACAACACTCCTGCGCCCCCTGCAGGTATCAACTCAACTGCTGTATTTCTGCTGATCTCATGAAGGTGTTTTCTGTTTTTTGTTTACTCTGCTTCCTTTGTGTTCCTCTAACTATTCACCATCATTATCACACAACACAACCCAAAATGGATTTGCTTTAATCCTAGTGCCATCAGGTCAAAATGTGATTTGTCCACTTTGTAATCCCATTCATCCAAACAGGAGGGCGAACTTTCTTCTCTTTTGCCCAATTTTTATTTGATTTCTTTTCACAGCAGTTTCTCTTTGTTTCACAGGGAGCTGTGATGAGGTCAGAGACCATTTGTACAATATCATTGGCCTGTAAAGCCCAACGAGACGCTGAAGTGCTCCGTTGCTAAATAACATCAGTGACCTTTAAAGGCTCCTGTGCAAACTTTCACTGCAGCGGTTCAGTAAGACAAAGACTTTAGGTCACTTTGCCTTTGCCGAACAGGAATTATGGTAAAATGGCCTGGCTGGTTTGCACTGGAGTGATAATGATATGTCATTATATTTCTGCTAAAGACTTCATTTCCCAGTGAAGACCAGTGCGTAGCTGGAACATATTAGCTTGCCAGGTAATAGCAGCTTTTTAATTCTATTGTGACGTCTAATTTAACTTTATTGTAATTTGTTTGATTAAAATGAAAATATGCGTGGGATCAACTTCAAATTGTTGAGCTCTCACATCTATAAACTTGAAATAGTTGGCGTGGTTCCATCTATAGCTCTGAAAATCCTCTGTTTGCTCTGAAGGATTTTTGTTAATCAAAGGTAAAAATATGAGAAATTTTGGTTCTTAAGATATTTGGTCAAACATACTCACTTCTAACCAGCATCCAGTTTCAACCAGGATTATGCTGCCATAAGAAAGAAAGGCATCATAAAATATTAGGTTAAATATTTTTTTCTTTGAAACATCCTTGCCACATCATTGTCTGTATCTCAGACTTGTGAACCATTCAACTATTAGAAATTCCTCTGCATCACTCACATTGTTTACGAGGTGAATTAAAACAACATCATCTGATTTATTATCATTGTCATGGCAGATATAACTGTCCTATTAAATGCACTGACTTTCTCTTGTAATGGATGCTGGAGAGAACAGAGAGTTCCTGAGCTGAAAGGGAAGAGAAGCTGTGTGTCTCCTGCAAGAGTCTCTCTCTTTGAGCTGGACGAGTTGATCTTAAACGGCAGTGTGATGTGTATAATTTTCCTTATAGGCGTCTCTTTCCCTTAAATTAGTTCACTGAGTCGACGTCTCTCTGCATTTGTCTACATTCGTGCTTTCTGTGGAGAGCTTTACTCCTCGAGAGCGGCAGTATTAATGGGTCTCCAGAGAGCTCTGCAGTTGGGCGGTCTTGCTGAGATCTAAAGGCAGAGCTGCATGTTAATGATGCCTCCATGTTAGCGCTGTTAATTACATTTACAGTTTATTATCTTACTCTCCTGCTCATCAGTTGCCTGGTGGCCACTTAAGTTCAAGTTGATGTTAAAGTTGAATGTGTGTATGAAAATCTCCCTCTTAACCCACACGGGTGTTGGTGATTTCACTTTTCCTGCCTGAGACTCGTTGTTGTGATGTTGTGCTGTTTCTTGGTCTGTAGTCTTTGGTTTGCTTGTAGGTCCACCAGTCACATGTCATCATTGTTGTGTGATGTGTCTTCCTCCCATATTCCTCCCTGTTCCTTGAGAGAACAGGGCTTCCTCTTGGCCTTCCTCGGTATATCTTTTCAGCGTAGTGGCAACAGCTTTGAGTCTGGGGGATGAAGAGTCATGGATGAAGTGGAAACCTGCTGCTTGATTTATTATTAGCAGCAGAAGGTGTACAGTACAGTACAGTATAGTAATAGTAATCAGACCCAAGACAGCAGGAAATGTAATTATACACTGAAGCTCCACTGGGGCATCTCCCTCCACTGCTTCCCCACTTTGCATTATAGTGTGTGGGCGGTGAGCCCCGTTACACACTTAATGATTTTGCAGGCTCAGCATGCATAAATGTGTTTAATGCCAGTGGCATGGTATATGCAGATTCCTCTATACAGGTACACTAACTCTACGGGCAAATAAAATAATATGGAGGCTTTACATTCACCATGCATTGCAAGAAATGAATGAAGATACAGTTTAATTTATAAATTAATAAAAGTAAATGACTGGAAGCCAGATAAAATATGTAAACAGAAATAAGGCTTTAAGATTTCAGATACTAAGGAAAAAAAGAGCTCTGTGATGTTTTGCATGTTTCAGTGTAAAAGTTGTTAGATTAGTTTAATAGTTTAATGTGAGTTGATCACCAGAGGGCAGTGTGACACTCAGGGTGACTGACCGACATACTGTATATCATTAGTGAGAAGGTGAGAAGGTCACACTGCACTCTGGAATATAAGCCGTTCATTTATCCATATAATAAGAGACATACTTCAAACAAGTCTAAGTTCACATAGTCACAGGTGAAGACCTGCATACGTAATGAGACTTGAGGAGAAGTGAAATATTATTAGCTTCAAACGTTTTCTTCGTCTTGAATCCACCTCCAGCTTCAGCTCCACAGTAGGTGGTGAGGCGCCTTGGCTTCGCGGTCAGGAGCTGTGGCTTCCTGGCTTTTCTATGTGCCTTTGTTGGGGCTCATTGCTTCTGGTCCTCTGCATCTGAAGAGGAACAAAGGATTAGAAGGGACTTATACCCCTTTCTCTGCTTTAATTACAGGGACCACCCCTCTTCATCACGCCTCATGTACCTCTCTAACGCTTCTCAAAGCTAGGCACTGGCCCTGCTGGAATGCTGGCACCAGCATAAGCAGATTCCATCCCCTTCCAGCACCACTACCCGATGATACACTGATTTGGGCTCAGAGCCCAATGCTCTTTTGTCCTCTTAAGCCTCTTAAAGAGACCCTGATGCTACATGGAGATGGACTATACCCACTCCTGAGTTTACTTCTTACGTTCTGAAGTTCATACAGAGCTTTAGTTTTTTTCTGTTTAATCTGGAGCACAAAGGAGTTGTTTTACAGGAAAAAATAGTGTTGATAATATGTTTTATGAGAAAAGTTTGACAGTATGGGAAGTAGGCTTGTGTGCTTTCATCAGATCAATGCCACTCTCATGTCTTATATGTGAATATGATGCTGCAACTGCTTAGGGTTAGTTGACAAGACATTTTAAATGGTTCTTGTTGCAATACTTTGGTTGTGGTGCAAATTACACATCTGCTAGAGAAGTGATTTGCCTTTCAATAAAATGTTAAAATGTGTCTGCGACATCAATCCACCGTGTCCATGACAGGTGGTCTTAAAGATATTTAATGCGTGATTCTTATTTTCCAGGCTCCTGTCCCTCAGGCTTCTTGCTGTGCGACAATGGCCGCTGTTTTTCTCCGGGGCAGAGCTGTGACTTCACAGACGACTGTGGTGACGGCACAGATGAAAAGGATTGTGGGACTTCCTGCTCCTTTGAGAATGGTCGCTGTGGATGGAAGAGCTCCCTGGCTGATAATTTTGATTGGACGCTTGGCACGGGATCGGTCCAGAGCATACGGCCCCCATATGATCACACGCTGATGGATGAAAATGGTATGTGTTCCCTATCCATTGTTGTTAACTTGAAGTTTCTCATTAAAGAGAAGCTCCTTACTGACTCACCATTATATCATTGAAGAAGTGCATTTTCCCTTTTGGGTGGTTTTGTGTAATCGGAATGACTGCAACTGAGCTGACTTTAAAAATCCCATGTGCTAACGCCAAACTGCTGTGGTAGCATTCGGCCATGTTTAATTCATGCAGTGCTTCAGACACTTCAGGGACAAAATCAATGAGCTACTTCCCAGCATGTGAATGTGCAGCAGGTGAGCCGTCTAGTGATTGATGCAGTAGTTAGGGCAGTAACTCTTTTACAATGTGCATGCTAAAAGGCAAATACACACACATGCACACAGCTGCTGTGGAGTAATTCCTCTAAATGTATTTAAATTAAAATCCTTATGATTTATTCTACCGTTACCATGGTAACATCAGGCATGATTTAATACTATGGCAAACACACGTTGAGCGTCTACTTTGTCAGAATTACAACAGAAGATCAATCAGTTTATCTATTTAAGGTGCAGCCAAACAAATACATTAATAATAGTAATTAAAATCTGTGTATACATTTGAGGCCAAACCCTGGTTTGGCAGGAGTCTGTCTGTGTGAAGTTCTCCCTGGGTCCCTGGGGAGTTTTCTCCAGGTCCTCCGGCTCCTCCCACAGTCCAAAGACATGTAGATTGGGGTTAGGTTGATTTGAGACTCTAAAGTGTGCGTAGTTGTGAATGTGAGTGTCTGTGCTTTCATCAGTTCAGTTCCTCCAATAGGAAACAGGAAATGTTCCTTTGGCAATAGTGGTAAATCAATTCCTCTGATAGGAGAGTGAACAGTTAACAATGAGATTAAATGAAAACACATTACATACAAGCCAACGCTTATTAAATTGATAATAATGAATGTATATGAATATGAATGTAAATGTATTAACGGGCTGTTGAAAAATGTCCACCATAAAGATTATCAGAAGCAGGATTTTATTTTTCCGTTAGTCTGAAGTTAGTTGTAATTGTAAAACATAATTGACTATTAAAAGGCCTCTGAATCGTTTGTTTTTTTATTGATCATTTTAAATTACAACATATCTGCAGAAAGAAAAGCACGAAGGCACAGACACTTTGGTTTTGTATTCAGCCTCCGTCCTGACTTTACGAGCTTGACTGGACCAAAAAGAACCTGCACACTGGCTCCTGTGTCAAAAGGCAGCGGACATTAGGAGACGTGTCAGAGATTACTCTGTGACCCCTGACCCTCACTCCCACACTGCACTGTTCTTGACCTCTCTATAATTTGTCACTTGCTCCAAGAGCTGCTCATACAGAAAAAGATATCAATCCCTCCCTCCCTCGTTGTTGCCACCATCCTCTATCACGTCTTGTCTTTCTCTCTCCAGGTCATTTTGTCTACCTGGAAGCTACACCAGTGGGACTCAAAGGTGATAAAGCTCATATCAGAAGTTGTGTTTGGAAAGAGTCAAGTGCCATCTGTAAGCTCTCCTTTTGGTACTACATTTCCCACAAGGCCTTGGGAACCATCCGGATGCTGATCAAGGTAAACGATCTGCAGGAGTTTGTTTAAATTCAGATACGCATTATTCCTGTTTGCACGGGCTCATGATAAAGAGTGATGAATCTCACTGACGCCACAATACTTTATGAAAAGAGCTTCGAGGACCTGCAGCCATCCATCTATCATGGTTACCATGGGTACGCTCGGTCCGAAATATCTATTAGATAGACTGATAATGATAAATCGCTGTAATGTCGACAGTAATCATGTCATAATCGCTGTGCTGTCTGCTAGTCTTAGTAATCTGGCAAAGAAAAAGAGTGGAGTGGCTGTCAGTCAATCCACAGTTTGATCTACAGGGCATCTGTTAGGGCCGAAAGTGATGAAGAGGTGAGTGATGGGGACCATGGTTACCCCTCCGCCCAGAGCAGCCCCACCCCACCATCTGGGAATACAGAGATCAGCCACAACAGAGAATTGTTTTTGATGCTGTGGCTGAGCGGTGTGTGCTCGTGTGCAGCGTCAGTCCTGCTCGTTAGCCGCTCTGCCATCTATTTTACACGTAGACGACTTTCAGGGATTACGATTTGTGCATGCAGCTTTCTACCATTTAAATCCTGCTGTGATCTACTGCACCTCCTGCCTGTGGTCCGTGTGCTCTCAAAATCATTTAGCTTAAGCAGATACAACTCAAAGTGCTGGAGCTATACTTAGTGTGACACCTGTGCATGGAGATGATGTATTTATTGATGTAGTTTTGAATTTAATTATTGTACAAATACTCTATTATATTGATTGCACATTAAAGCCTGGTGCAGACTGAATAACAATTTGCACCGTATTCAAGCCCAGCTGCTTGATTGATTATGTGACTCTCTGAGAGGGGGGAGATGATGAATGCATGTGGATCATTTTTCGGGTTATCCGTGTTCACACACGAGTGGAAAATGGAAAATGTGGCCTTTTGAAGAAGGTCAGCTCTTCACATGAAAATGAGGCAATGGAATCAGTTACACAGACAGCGGGTGGTGAGCTGAGAGGGCATCCTGTATGATTTTAGACATTGAGTGAAGAGTGCCTGAGACAGAAAGACATAGAAAACCAATATCTGATTTCACCTTCATGTCTGTTCACAGTCTCACATGACACGTAAGTGATGTTAAGTGCATGTTTGACCTTGAGGGTTCAAAGACATGAGCACTTACAGATTATTGTTCTGTGCGACATTCTTGAATTTTCATAACCTCCACGTTGCTTTGAGTAAAAATGCTGACATAAACAAACACACGTGTGCGCTATCATGACCAGATCCTTTACATTGTGTAAATACAATATGAGCCATGTTTAAAGGTTGATTGAAGAACAAAGGGATTAATGGTAATGATGCTAACAGTCAGAGAGAGGGGATTATGATTTTTTCCCCTGTGAACTCCACAAAGGGCTCAACAGACCTGTCTGTTCAAATCACTGTGTCTGTGAACTGCTCTGAAGACTCATCACCCTGATAACTGCCCTCAGCAGCAGAGTCATCTGGGTACACAGTCAGCTAGGACGTGAACAAAGACTCAGAGTCTCAGAGTGAATGTGGAACAGTCTACAAGTCAGATATTAAACTCCAAAACTGTTGCATGTAATGTGTCTGCATGCAAGTTGTGTTGATATATGCACATGTCTAGTATTGTATTTGTCACTTTATTCATTTGAGATATGAGGCAGTTTACATAACTTGCTGTCGGATGTATTTTGAATCAGAATAGTCTTATGGTGATTGAGATAAATTACTTTACCATGAAGCTGTATAACCTGCTCCTTTATACAGTTATATATTTGCTGTAGTGGGTTCAAATGTGGTCATTATGGTGAGCCAAGCATCTGCCTGTCAAGCCAGAGAGACGACGCTGTACCCAAGGAAAACATGACAAAGCAAATCATTTGGTCATAGTCTTGATTTGAAGCACAGTCCTGTCTCGAGAACAATATCCTAATATGCCCTTAATGTTGTAACATTATTCAGCTGAGGAACAAGCAGTTGCACCATGAGTTGAAGGTGAGTCGACAGAAAAACAGCTGCCAGCGGTTCCATAAAATGAAAAAGCTATGAATACAAATTGGATTTCAGCTTAGTGGAACATTCAGTGTATGGGCTGAGACATTAGGGATTTCTAACTTTCAATAGAATAAGCATTTTATTGTGATTACAACTTTCTTTGTTCTGTTTTTGGCCTCTTGACTGTCACCCGCAGAATAATGCAATTAAATTATGCAAATGCGCATACACTTCTCACTTTGAGCTAACTGAATTTGTGGTTGCAGTGCCTTGACAGTGAGTTCAGGAAATAAAGATGTAAACTGATGGAATAAATGCTTACCCTGCCACACACACATCAAGCATGAGCGATGCATGCTCGTATCATACACTTGTCAGTCGCTGCTTTTATGGATCGAGCCTTTACTCCATGACATAAATCTGGATAAGTCATGCTGTTACGCTACCTATTAATCTACGCTCTTCTCCCACAGTAACAAGATTATTTCAAGCCAGGGCTCCATTGGTGTAAAGTGGGAGAGACAGCTTGTGCATGCCTAACCCAAGGGTGCACGTTAATAGGCTTTCAAATGGCAGAGTCGAAAGTGACATTGCTCGTCCTCTGGTTTTCAAGCACTTCTCTTCCACTACAGTCAGTCCTTGCAACTTCAAGTACCACAAGTTTGATATCTTACTTATTGTGCATCTACGTGCACCTCGAAATGTCTCATCTGTTGAGATAGCGTTCACATGGTCGCTCGTTCAACTAAAGTTTCAGAAGCCCTAAAACTGAATTATTGATTTGATGTGATAGAAGTGGTGTCATCCTGTCACCTTTAAAAAAGACCAGAGGATGAGGATGCTGTTAGGAATTGCTACAGAGTTAAAAAACAAAAGTCTAAACAGGCCTTTTTCACAGCAGACATATTGACACAGTGGGAGAGGCACATGTAAATAATGACGCTAATCAATGGGACGTATTAACGTTATCTCTTTTACCAGTGCTTATCTAGTGTGACATTTCAAAATGTCCGCCCTGATAAAAGCTAGTGTTCAACTCCAGAAGTTCTGCAGGATGTGTAGTAAAATCTATACTTTCCTCCATTAAACACTCAGTGGTTTAACTAGGCAGTGCTTTTCCATATTGACCTTCAGATAAAGTGGATTTTAACAATCTCTGCAATCACCTCGGGTGAGGAACAAGATCAAAAGTGTGTGTGTTTCCGCAGAGTAGATGTAACTTAGAGAAAGGGAATCACAATATGGCTCAGACGATCCATATTACCTGGTCTCAGTTGGCTGATGTTAATTGTTCAGGTTGCTTACAAAAGCACGAGATGAATCAAGCTTGGTTTAGCTTCACACTTAAAGAATAAGACCCTTTTTTCATGAAAAGACAGAAACCAACAAGTCAGTCACGACTTCCAATTGAAAGGTTTGTTGAAAGCAGAAACCAAATGCAGGCAGATGGGAGCATTAAGGAAATTTAATTTAATTTTAGAACTTTGAGTCATGGCAGGTTGGCAGGCACAAGCCAATCTGAACTAAAATAATCCAAACTCAGAGGAATGTGTACTAGACTGAAATTTAAGAAAACTCCAACTTTGAACACACTGAAGGACAAAGAAGACAAGGGAGCACAAAGAGAAAACTGGAGAAAACAAACGTGGAGCATGTTGACTCTGCACAAAAAGACCCTGGCCGAGAGGGCTTTGATCCGCTGCTTTGAGGCGACTGTGCTAACAACTGGTCTACCATGTCACCCTGAAATACAAAATCCAAAGATCCAAACACAGGGAAGTTAGTCTCAAGGCCAAAGAACTTTAACACTAATTCAAAAACTATACAAATGGACACCCTAGGCAAAAGAGAAGAAGTCTGTATTTGTGGGACTCAGCCCAAAGCTTTGGTTCCTATTGATGATGGAAAACTATACTCGCTGTGTGGTTGTACTTCTACAACAGCAGTACAGTTGGCTGGGACATCAATAGTTTCACAAAGTAAGAAGTTTGACCTGATGTGGCATGAGGGAAATCCATTGCCATAACTCAAGGAGAGCAGTGTTCTGTCTGATTAACAGCTCTCAAGGTAGGGGACTTATTACTGTGATGTTATGCTAATGAGACTTTAATGACTCCACAGCAGCAGCAGTCTGTCCAGGAGAATTTTTAACAATTTAAACTTAAAGTTCTTCACTCTAATGAAACTCAAAGTTTCTATTTAACTCTGCTGCAGCTTTGAAACCACTGTGACAGTGGTGTAACCTGAGTGAAATACCCACAGTGTGATGGTGTCATGTCGTTGCTGCTCTTCTCCACAGAAAGACAATGATTTGTTGGAAGTGTGGAATAAAACGGGGCATCAGGGGAACGAGTGGAACCGAGCTGAGGTCCCCCTGAGGAAGCTGAGGAACTTTGAGGTGATATTTGAAGGGGTTCGCTCGAGGGATGTGAGCGGAGGAGCTGCCCTGGATGACTTGGAGTTCATAGACTGTGCCCCAAGTAGGTGATACATAGAGTGCATGCTTTTTTACACTGAACTTTTCCAACAAACCAAATTAAAATGAAATGTACAGATGTGTTAATGATTTAACGTGCATACATTTTTAATGATTTATGTCAAACCTGAAAACTAAGATGACTCATACCGAGACCTCAAAGTTCAAACATTATATTTTGTATTGTGTATAAATTATTATTTAATTCAAACATCAATTCAAAGAGCACAGGAGCAAGGTGTTCTTGTTTAAGGGCTGTTGACTACAAGGCAGTGTACCAGAGAAAATAATAAAAAGTCTCACAGCTTTGTTTGCTGCGTTTCTAAGTTAAACTTATTGTTTTTTTGTTCCTTTATTGCACCGTCATCTTTGATTTAGGTGTTTGAAATGTTTACTAATGAAAAGTGTCTCAAAATCTCATTGCTCCCAAATGAAGCAGTGGAGTGGAACGTTTTTCAGAGCTAGAGATTTCACCATGCGGCAAAGTAATCAGAGTCAGCGAGTGAACTGTTCAGCACATCACCTCTGCAGGACGGCAGAACAAGTCTTTCTTATTGTGTCTTTAATTTGAAAGTGAGTTAGATATTGAAAGTGCTAGAAACAATGAAGCTTTCAGAGACGTTCATTCTCTCATTTACTGTCAGTCAGTTTTTCAGACCAGCTCATATCTAACTTTGGTGGAAAAGTATTTAACTTTAACCTTGTAGCTCTCTGAAGCAATTACTGAAATGTCCTTTGAATCCTTTGAAATGAAAAGATTAAAAGCTGATGTACGTTAAATTCAAGGTTATTTAAATCATCTGAAGAAAATGAACATCGCTGTAAAATTTGTCCAGAAAAGTCCAAACTAGTGGATCACAGTCTATATTACAAAATGAGGATTCAATTATCTTTAAATTAAACTTCTCTCCATTCCTCTTTTATCGGACTATATTTCCGAACTATATCTTCCAAAGTGAGATATAATTATGCTGTGAGATTATTTTATGATCGCCCCAGCTGATAGTGTGCTGATATATCCACGCAGAGAGAGAAAGATAGAGAGAACCAGTCTCAGAGGGAGAGGGCTCGTTTCTTCTGCGTGATGACAGTCGCTGTCAGTTGCCGTTTGATGTTTATGGACGAGACAGATGTTCCACATTACACGGGACCTGGCACAAGGCTGGACATCATGCAGGCCTCTTCCCGGCTCTGCCAAGGCTCTCTCTGCGACACACACGTATAAACACACTCACATGGAGAGACGTAAACACCGACCCACAGACGTAAATCAAAGGCGAGCATGCGAGGACTGACAAGCAGACAAACTGTCTGTCCAAAAACTAATTGGCACTCACACACAACTTCCTTCAACTTTAAATGTGTGTCGAATATGTTTTCAGCTCATCCCATGATGGAAATAACCTCCTGCAATGGAGTCCAGCAACTCCGTCCTCATTTCAGTCATCATTTAACGTCTTTTGAAGTAGAGGAGTACACACAGGCATCTACACACACGCAAATAATTGAGCTGTGTGTGTGTTTACGTCCTCTGATCCACCTGATCTCTTTCCTGTCCTCTCTGTCCTGTCAAGGCAGAGCTGGAGGAGGAGAGGCTGTGATTTCCCCCTGACAGGCCTTTTCTCTGCTTGTGTTTTACCGACTCCTCCGATCCTCGTTCCCTTTGGTCCGGAGCAAAGCGAGGCTGCGTGTTAATTGGATACAGTTGTGCGTTGTTGCATTTTCCCTGCTGCGAGATTTAGTCGATCTGAGCAGTAAATGCTACACAGGTTCCTGTCTCTAGAAAGAAGAAGAAAACAACCACAAACTGTAATTGCTTCCTCTCCAGACGTGGTTCTTTGTTTCTCTGTTTGTATTCTAGATGCCGTGGCGCCGGTCAGCTGTCCTGAACTCACGGACTTTGTGTGCCACAGCGGCGACTGCATTGAATCTCACCTGGTGTGCGACAACAAGGCCGACTGTGCCGATGAATCAGACGAGATAGACTGCGGTGAGGAAGAAAAGGGGAAATAGATTTGTATTTTACTTTAGAGCAGAAAAACAACATTTTCTTTCATCTCTTTCTCTCTCTACGTCCTCGTGCAGACCATATAGTTGGCTCCCCAGGTGCCTGTAATTTCAACATGGATGAAACCCAGTGGGAGGAGATGTGCCAGCTTTCTCAGGACCCTGATGATGACTTTGATTGGAGAATAGGTCACCAGACTGAGACACCAGGAGCTGGACCTCACTCTGACCACAGTCCAGGTCAGTACTCTCTCTCCTTGTCTCCCAGAAATGACATGTATAGACAAGCACTGTAAACTTAACACAACATGTTGTTTGTCCCTGCTCCCCATAAGGAAAATGTAAGCACTTTCTGATTTGACACGTTCTCCTTGTTTCCTGCTCTCAGGAAGCTGAGTACTTTTGTAATAATAACTTGACAGCTGGGAAAAAGGAGCTTCTGACAAGTACGTGAAGGCAGAGTTAATAATACATCCTGATCAATGTCACGCTGAGTCAAACTGAGCTTAACAGCGATGGACTTGTTGTTTATCTTGTACACAGAGATGCTGCTGCATCAAAACATGATTTTCTTTTGCTGCTGATTAATTATAAAAATGAATCTTAGAGTATAAATAACTGGTACAGAGATTATATTTGGCCTCATCTATACCAGGCATTATAAACTTTCATTTTTCTATGTGACTTATTGAATTTAGTCTCCTGCAAGGTATGAAAACGTGCATCGTGATAACAAAAAAAAAAAAAAAAAAAAAAAAGCAATTACAGTTTTGTAAAGCACGAGTGCATTTGAGGGGGAAACCATTTAGCAGTGTACAGTTTGCTTCACTTCAGGAAGAGAAAGTGAAGCAAAGGTATGAGTCACCTCAGTCCATGAACAGTGTTTAGATTCAGGGCTCGATTGAAAAGATAATTAACTGTCAACAATTTTGATAATCTATTAATCATTTGTTGATGAAAACTCATTTTCCGCTTCTCAGAATTTCAGAATAGTTTCTTTCTCTTTTATATTTTACTGTGATATAAAGTAGATGTCAATCCAGTCACACATTATTTAAATTGTTTGGCAATATTTTGACAATTTTATTGTATATATTCTATTATGTAAAAAGATCAGTTTTCATGGTGAATAAACCGGGATTCTTGTGTGGTCCTCGTAGACACTGCACACAGACCAACACCGGCTACTTGCACCCATTGGACGGTACAAGCTTTATTGTCTCTTTGACTCTCTATACTCAGAAAGTCTGCAAAAAGATATAATTATATACACATGGCTGAAAAAGGACAGGACATGACCCTGCAGACATCAGTAGGTCTTACCGGGAATATAACATTTTTTCGAGGGTGAATGTTTTGGGGTTTTTTCATTTTTCATTTGGATTATTCATCACTTTGAGTCAGAGGAAGAATCCAGTGTTGTGGTTGCGAGCACAGTTTGCTGCGTGCTCTGAATTGTGTTCAAATCCCCTTTAACTCATGTGGAAAAACTTGCACTTTGTTCTGGCATCGCTCACATGCTGTCTCATCCTCGAGCCTCAGCTGTGCAGGAGATCTGTGGAGCTTTTGGCTGTGGGCTGCAACGTTTCACAACAGCACAAACTCTTTCTTCTGTCAAAATATTGTGTATTGGAATCAACAGAAGAAAGTTATTGGATTTCTTTCCAGCAGCAAAGCCCAAATTGTTTGGTTGAGCAGGATTTAGCTGTGGGTATTTTTTTCTCTGCTCAGTGACAGATGTGAAGCGTCTTTATCTGTATTTATCTCCAAAGATGGTGGTGGGAACTTCCTGTATGTGAACTCAGCCATTCAGAGGGAGGGGGACATTGCCAAGCTGACGACGAGGCGTCCGTTCCCAGGTAGCGTCGGACTGTGTCACCTGCGTTTCTGGTTCTTCATGCACGGCTCAGACAGGATGGGAACGCTGAAGGTGATCTCGTCTCTGCTGCATTTCCATAAACTATTCAAAGCAGTTTTGTTTTTTGTTTTTTCTTCAGGCATCAAGCTTCCATGTTGTCTTTTTTAGTCATTCGCTGCCGATGATCCATCACAGTCAACCTGAAGGCTTAATTTTGTCTTCGTCAGAAATGTCTCTGCTGTTTTCTCCAGCCCCTCTCTATGATCCACGTTGCTTACCGTCAATCACCTGATACCCACAGGAGAGAATGAAAGTGTCCCTGCCAGGAAACAATCCATCAAAGCACATCACCTCACCAACTTTATTAAGATATCCATCTCTTCATGTCTTTTTTCGGTGTCTTTGTCTTTGGGTTAATTTGAAAACAACAAATAAGCAAATGTTTAAAAAAAACTGATTAGATAGAAGATGTGCTATAAAAAACTACATGGAGCCAAAGACTTCCTTCATTTATTATTCTGTGTTAAAGAAGAGATATCAGGAAATTGCACTGCTGCCTAAAATTAAAGATTAGTTTGCTAGTTAAACACTTTAATGTGATTGGAAACACACACATTTCTTTTAAAACAAAATATAAGAAACAGTGATAGGATGCAATTAAGTACATTTACCTAAGGACATTGTGGAAGTATAGTTTGAGTATTTTCTTTTAACATCACATTCTTTTTTTCTTCTATTCGAAAATATCATATATTCATAAAAATATCCTTATTATAGATTAAATGACCCATCAACAAAAACAGGTTCTACATTTACTATGAAACATTAAATGTTTAATGCAGAATTTTTACTTGTAAAATATGTTGTTAGTGCTTCAATAACTTAAATGATGAAAATACCTCTGATGAAGATTCAGAAAACATTGAAGAAAGGCTGTAGTGACAATAAAATGTGAAGCGCACAAAACATATTGTGTTCTGTTGCAAGTATTAAACAAAACTTACATATATTTACATATTTGTTTTACTCTTTCCTTTCAAAACACATTGATATATATTTCTACTTCACTGCCAATTTTAATCATTTCATTTGATCCTGCTCCACAGGTCTTCACTGTAGGACCCAGCGGTACCAGTCTGCTGATGTGGGCGACCACTGGAAACCATGGCAACCAGTGGACTTACGCCAACGTCATCCTGTCCAACTCAGCACCTTTCAGAGTGACCTTCCAGGCGGAGGTGGGTGGAGACATGTGGACGGACATCGCCCTGGATGACGTCTCCTTCACTGCAGAGTGTGCGGTTGGAGGTAAAGCTATTATATAATATTTCTCTCTTCCTCATGTTCGGCCCTGCCAGCTTCTTTTTTTCTCCAATTCTCAACTTCTCCCATTTCCTCTTTTTCCACATTTTCTGTTCTCCATCATCGACGCCCTCCTCTTTGTTTCCATATTAATTGTGGGGCCCCTGCTGAAGTGTGTAGTGAGTTAATGGAGCCTGTTGCCCTGCAGGTCCATATACTGTATATATATAATGGAGCCTTTGAGGGACAAGATAGAGGGCAGCATGGGGGGGGGGGGCAATTACCTTTACATTGTGTTGTTCTTCTCTGAGCTGTATCCATTAGCATACCTCTCTGTTTTCCACACTGTCTGAAAACATTCCTCTGAGATTCCTCACTCCAGGATTCTCGATGTGTGTGAGCTAAACTCAATAAGACCAGATTGCTCATCTCTCTCTGTTTATGTGTATCTATGTGCATGGATCTTTCCTGTGATGGTGTCACGACAGGACCAGTAACTCCTCAGCCTCTGACCTGCGGGGTGGACCGGTTCCAGTGTGCGTACTCCTTTCAGTGCATCCCAAAGAGCTGGAGGTGTGACGGAGAGCCTGACTGTGCTGATCAGTCTGATGAAGAGCATTGTCCGGCCTTGGTACCTGGAACTCTTCCTCCTCAAGTCCTCTGTCCCATTGGGTTTTATCAGTGTTCAGACTCTCAGTGCCTCCCCTCCATACTGCGCTGTGATGGTGTCCCCGACTGCCCTGATGGAGAAGATGAGTACAGCTGCCGTAAGTATCTGTTTGTCTTTATAAAGTAGAAATGACTTTGACTCGACAGGTGCCAGCACGGAGATGGAGACAGACACAATATTTTAGTAGTCTGCCGATGTTATAAACAATAGAAACAAATATAAGACACAACAACAACTTAAGTGTATCACATACTTTGCATAGAGGTGTAAATTATGAGTCACTTTATGGATTCATGTTATTACCTTCAGTTCAGTTTAAAGGTTCCTAGTCCCTGACATGCAGTTGGTTCATTTTATTCTAAGCAATCACATCTCTATTCAGCTGTATTTCAGTTTGTACACAAGTGAGAACAACACGGTTCATATGTCCGGCACATTCAGTTTGGATCATATTGGATAAAGCTGACTTATATACTTACAAGGCTAAAGCCTTAGCAATCTGTTGTCTGCTGCAGTTATGACATCATGATGGTTCCTGTGGTTATAGCCGCCTTTTTAAAACGCTTTTAATGAGGATGTAACTCACCGTGCGGCACAGCTGCACTGACAGAGGTGCTCTCCATCACCAGTGGAGAGAGCTGCATTGTGGCCGCGTGTTAAAAATTTGTTGGCTCATCCACTCAACACCTCTGTTGCAAGAATGTGTCAAAAGTTATTTTCTACCTTCTCATAGATTCCCCTCAAACCTGACTGTCACTGACTTCAATAACTTGAGAAATCAACAGCTTCATCTCGTTCCAGAGACATTTTCTCTGGATTAGAATATTGTCTGCAAAAGAAATCAATGCAAACAGCCGACAGTAGTTTCTGTTGATCCACAGTAACAGCAACAGATATTGCTGTAGATTGTTTATGTTTTTTTCACTATGATAAGCTTCATTGTTTAAATTTCGTCCTTTGTATTGGGATGAATGAATCTCCTGGACACATAAAAACAACTCTGTATGTTCATGGCTGAATAAAAGGGAGCTCAGTTGCCTCACTGGTTTTTTGAAGTCTTTGAGACGAACTTTATCTTTCATCTAAAACTGTCCCTGTAGACTTTATTGCATATTTAACCTATGAATGATCTTTCATGTAGTTTAGTGAATGGTCTTAGCTCTTTCTCTCCTCCCTGCTCCTGACTTTTAAAATCTTTTTACAGCTTTCACCTTTGTTATTTAAGTACTTTCTCAAGCACTGTCTTTTGTTTTTGAATGTGCTTTTAGAAACATTGATTTGACTCGTCGTCACTGGGTTCTTCTTAGTGGAGAGCAGCGGGTTTGTGTTGCCTGGCGAGGAACAGTTTGTTTTTGTCTGCAGAAGTCGAGTTGAATTGTTTGAATTTTCGTGCAAGAACTGAAAGAATGTGTTGAAATCCCCTTCTTGTAATGCTCATATCATTATCCACTGAGGGGAAATTAGGAAAGCACACACACATTATCCCACAGATTAGGATCAAAGTGTCAAAGCATCTTTACAATCTCTAATCCCTTTTCTAGTATGCTGCTCATAGTGATCTGGGAATGCACGCTGCCCCCCCCCCCTCGACATATTTTACCAATTTTCTCTGCTTCTGCTTTGTCTTTTTCATTTTCTCTAACAGCTCTGCTGCAGTGCGAGCTGGGAGAACTGGTGTGTGAAGAAGGTTCACCTGCTTGTATCCCACTTCAGAAGCGCTGCGACCACTGGACTGACTGTCTGCCGTTCCACTCCGATGAGTCCAGCTGCCATGGTAACATATTTTCACCAACCTGACCCCTTTTAGGTTTTTGTCCACGATATGAATCCCTGACTTTAAAGACAGGACACAGGGTTCATTCTGTGCCTTTTTGTTGTATGCAGTCACGCTTGAACTATGTAATTTTATAATTTCAGATTATTTTCCTGCTATGATGTAAATCATTGTGACATTCAATTAAAATATGTCTTTCTAGCTGCATGACAGTTCTTTTATGTTTGTTTACATAAAAGAAGATTTTAAAAAAATACATGGATTTTGCTATTTAACGGCTACGTATAGTTGTTCTTGCCACTATATTATGCTCTCATGAGTCACATCTGACTGAAGCGTTGCCAAATCCTTATTCATGGCGGCTCATTTCCACTCAGAGCAGTGGCTCTTGGGACATTCTCGAGTCTGACTGTTTAGTCTTCAAAACACACCTCGCAGGTTACTGCACGCTGCCAAAATCCATTATATCCTCCGCTTTCCTGCATTTTCCAGGACAAACACCAAACCTCTCATTCAATCCGAATCCACTGCCGAGCCAAAGTAACTTTATCAGGAGCTGAGCAGAAGTTCAGGGCTTCAAACGTGATGATTATTCACGCAACTTATGGAAGGAAGAATATTTGACGGCAGATGTGCAGGGAGAAAATCGATGTATGTTTGTGGTTCATTGTACATGCTGACGGTTTCTGAGGTTAATGGATGAGACTGAACAGAGCACAGTTTCCCTTGGCAACATTCACTGATTTCATTTTCTTGTGTTAGAGCTACTTGCTTGAGTGTTTCTCTGTTTCCTGTCGGGTAAAGAGAGAAATGGAAAACGACAATGAAACAGAGTGGAGGCAAATCTTGGGAAGTTTTTCTTTTCTGTGTATTTGTTTGTACAAGATTCAGTCAATTTCTTTTTTGCAGATTGTCCCCCGATGTACTGCCTGGATCGGGGCTCATGCCTCGTGCAGAAACACGGTCCTGTTTGCACGTGAGTTCAACTTTACCGGGACACACATTCATAAACAGGCAAATGCAGACACCCCACACTCATTCATAAACATGCACAAACAAAGATAAGTATCATGTCTCCTCTTCCCACTCCCCCTCCCACCCTTTATCTTTCTTTGTGAGACTTAAAACATGGAAATCCCATCAGCCTTGTTTCTTTCCTTGGAAAAGACACGCTCCATGAAGCATGTGGGAATCTGCTTATCCCCACAGCTTAACCAGGGTGGTTCTGCCTTCATTTATCCACCAGCGCAGAGTTTCCTGGGAATTTCTGATGGATTCTCTTGGTAAATATTTAAACACGGCCCCAGCTACCAATGTCTCAGTGTGGAGACCACAAAAAAAAAACATGTATGAGATTAATATACTGAGCGGCTATAAGTTGTCATAGGACTTTCTGTCTGCCTTTCAAAAACACATTGGAGACAAACTCTATGCCCGCTCTGTTGGAGGTTTTCTAGAAAGCTTGTGCATCAGCAGCCTGGAATATCTGTGATGCGATATTTCATTATAAAAGTATTGGGACTTGCTGCTGCATCTGCTAACATCATTATGCGCCAGTGAATCCTCTCTGAGAGATTCACATTTCTCCATTCTCGTTTCCAAAGGCTCAATTCCCCAAAATTGATTTGAGTTGTGCAGCAGAGAAACAGGAGGACAATGCCTCCAGTCAGTGACTGCACTGAAACTGAAAGGAAAACTCTCACCTTCAGCCAGATGCCTCACGGTCTTCACCAGAGTCACTGTCAGGGACAACTGCTCTTATTGTAAATCAGTCAGCTAAATGATATGTAATATAATTTTAAGACTTCCTCCGTTGCACCTGTCAGCTTTACATTAACTCACTGTATAGGTGGATATTTTCACTTTGGGTATTTTTCAGAAACCACTTTGCATTTTTAGCCTCATAACATCTTTGTTTTCATCTGGTGATTTCTGAAAGCCGAACTTAAAGCTCTGCAGCATGTGAGATTTGCAAGGCAGCAATTATCCCATTGGAGGAAGAGATTATAGGTTTGTGCAAGTTAAATTCACTCATACCAGCATCTTAGAATGCAAAATTATTCTCGCATGTGGCCCAGTGTCACATTGTGTCACGTAATTGCAAATTGCATCCCACTGAAATGCTGGAACAGGAAAACATTTTGGGTGTTGGAAATATTAAGCTATTTTATGGCTGTTTCTTGCAGAAATGCACCGCTGCTTCCTCATTATGTAACAGGACTTCACCACCATCATTCTGTGTGGTGTGGAACTGTGTGCGTTCCAGCATCGATAACAGCCCTGCTGTAGCAGAGCCCGAGAAACTGAGGCTTCCTCTGGCTCAGTATTTGCATCACGTCTCCCCACTCTATCGAGCAGGATCCACCGGGGAAGCAGGCCAGGGACGGCCCACTGCCACGGCCAGGCTGTCACACAATATGTGCCCTGACCCCCTCTGAATGATAATGACACCGTGTGGCTTTGCGGAGAGATGTGTGTTTCGCATTAGAAGGTCAATGTTGCTCAGAAATCAAGCTGATACTGAACAGATGTTGACTTGGAGCACAATCTTTGTTTGGGAATAGAGGAACTTGCTTTCTTTTCCAGGGATGCAGCGCACCAGACCGCCCAAACTATTTGCAATTAGTCTGTGTTTGCGTGCAGGATGTCCCACAGAAAAGTCCTGCGCCATTTGTCAAGATAGTGTTTTTGTAAAATATGATGTGAGAGAATATCTGTGCTGAAGATTTATTTATAGTCTCTTCTCTTTATCTATTTTAGTGTTTTATTTATTGTGTTTTACTTTTATCAGTTTTTGTTCTCTTTTTAAAGGAGGAATCTGAAGTTGTTTGTTATATTGACAATAAATCTCATGAAAAGATTAAAAACAACACATTATTCTCTCAAAGTTTTGCAGCCTCTTCCCTGTTACAATCAGTCCCAAACACATTAATGCATCCTGAAGTTTTAAATCTTTAAAAAAAGGAACAGAGTTTTGGTTTTGGTCTTTTTGTGGGATTTATTGACAATAATAAAAATACAGAATATCACCAGATGTTTAATCACTACATTTTTACAGTTTACATCTCTACTGTCTTTTTGGTTTTATTACCTGCACTAACTTGTTGTAAAAGTGCTAAACAAATAAAGTTTGAATGATTTACTTTTTTCCCCCAAAGTCTTTGTATCAATTGCACATCATTGGACTGTTTTCCATGTCTGATCACAGATGTTATCCAGGATGGACAGGAAACCGTTGCCACGTGAGGGCGAAGCCGTCTCTCTCCACCCCGACACCTGAACCAGAGGACACGCAGATGGGTACTAAAGAAACACACCTCCATCAAACTGTCTCACCTAAATTTATCTTCTGTGTCCTTGCATCACTGTCTCTGCAGTTCATTGAAGCCACTTGTCTTTACAAGAATTCAAACCACCTCCCTTCTGTTTAGATTCTGTGTATGTTGGCATTGCCATTGGACTGCTGCTTCTCGTAGCTGGAGTCGCCGTCTGCGTCCTGGCTGCATGCCAGAGGAAATGCTACTTGTTGTGAGTTGTGGGTACGACCATAGGCTGTGTATGAAGATGGATGATGTTGTTGGGAGCTGTAACGTCATCCATCTCGACAAACAGTTTATGGTTACAACAATGACGCTGATGATGATGATGCTGTGAATGATGAAGGTGATAATTGGTGCATTTGCTGACTCTGCAGAAAAACTGACCAGATGAACTACGGGGTGATGCAGGACTCAGCCTTTAACCGGAGAGCAGAGGTCAGTGCACAGAGTCGACCAATCAATCCTCAGCAAATTCTGTTAGAGCGACATCAGGTCTCTCACCTCAACAAATCTCATTTATTTTTACTCCTATTAATACAATAAGTGGATTTAATATATTCAGTCAAACATGTCTGGATTGTTGATCTTGAAGTAGGATTATTGATTTTGTGGTCTGGGGATGTATGTGTGTATATGTATATATATATATATATATATATATATATATATATATATATATATATATATATATATATATATATATATGTATGTATATATATATAAAGCAACTAGGGTAAAAACAATGACTGAACCAAACAATTTCATCATGACTATGTTTATTCAACAGCTGAAATAATATGATAAGCTTCAGAAACTCAAAGGCTTTTCTACTGAAATGCATTACATCACAAAGGTGCAGTGGTGGCAGAAAGTGTGTGTGTGTGTGTGTGTGTGTGTGTGTGTGTGTGTGTGTGCTACAGCTTGATGAAATGCAAGCTCACGATACTCCACATTTACTTTCCACACTGATAATTGGATTAAAAGTCTTCTGAACTATAAATACATGTGCTAATACCAACAAGTTGAAGCAGATTGTGTTCCAGTGTCCACACACACACACACACACACACACAGCACATGTGAATATGTGTCTGTATATATTGGCATGTCCGTACATGTTGGCTTTCATGTGCTGCCAGTTAGGGCACAGTTATAAATAAAGAAGTGTGAACTGGTATCTCCACAGCGCAGCTCTTGCCTCAGCAGTCATTAAAGTGAGTGGTGGAAAGAGTCAGTGAAAGATGATGTGAACGTTAAAAATGTCATTATGGACACATAATGGAACAATTCGATTTTAATTGTGCGATCTCATGTCATTTCTAATTGCTGTACATGACTTTCCTTCTCTCAGCTCCCGTCTCCTCATGAAAGCACATGCATTTGTCCCAGCGTTAACCCCAGGAAGAGTGATGGTCGGGGGCTTTCCATCAGCGTCTACCCCTGGAGGCGAGAGGTGGAGGTGAGGTGTCTCGGCTCAGCCTTTCAACCTTCACTATAATTATGTGTGCAGAGGTCGGTGACATGATGTCCGTCTCTTTGTGTCTATTACTCCGCAGCAGGGTTCGACCTGGAGAGACGCCAAACTGTCCTTCACCAACCCGTTGTACAATTACCCCCCTGATGCTAATGGCACCGAGCACAGAAGTTCTGAAGCATGAAAACAGTGGACTTTACATATCGACGCTGCAGTAGATCTGTGTCAAACTGAGTGGGCAAACACTTGATGAGTTTGTCTTGACCTGCTGAGCTGCCAAGTCAGGAGAAACTCAAGAGAGGAGGGGAATTCAGATATTCTGACAAGTACCGGAAAACCAATTCTGATCTACTACTGTAATTTACAGCTAAATTATTTTTAATTTTACGTGACGCTTCCCCTTGTTATGGTCCAACATCTTAAATAAAAACTTCGGACAAGCCCATGATTGCTGAATTCAAAAGTTTAACACATTTTGTCAACGTAAATACCAGTGAATCAGCATTTACTCATTAACAGCTACGTAGATTCATCTGCAGGAGCAGAGTTAGAAATTTGGGGAAATAACATTATTCTTGTTCTTGTGGAACTTTCAAAGAGAGGGTGGTCGTTTCTGGACAGTAAATATGTACAAAATCCATATCAATATAATTTACTTACAGTTTAAGATTTAAATGTTGCATCTGGATTATCATGCAAAAATAGTCAAATGTCAATATCAAACAGTAAATAACACAAAGGATAAACGCTAGCCCTAATACATTTTGGTAATTTTGTACTTAATGCTGCCAGAGTAGCAGTTTATTGACATTGCCGCAGTTCTTTCACTCACAGAAACAGTTGCGGTTCGTTTGTGCGTCGTGATTAAAAGATTTCTTCGTTGTTGGCAAAAGCAGAAAACATCTGGTTCACTGAACTGAAAAGCTCCACTGAACAAGAAAAGCTTCCAGAAAGAGTCCTGCTTTCATTACTGATCTGTTTTAATACCCACAAGTGCAAATAAAATAGTTATGACCTGGTTTTATTAGAAAATTACAAGTCAGCATCTTGCAGCTGTTGCGTGAGCTGACTCTCTAACTCTCTGTGTCAACCAGTGCAGAGTGGATGGGTCATAAACAGCCATTCAAACCAGTCATTCATGTTCAGTCGTGGCTCTCGTCAGCTGCGTCTCATCAGACATGTCGACATAAGTGACCATAGGCGCTTCATGTTGATTTACATGACCAGGCCGTGTTCTGTAGCTTCCTATGAGCCTCGCTGTCATCACATATAAGTGCTAATGAAATTCCTGCTTCAGTTACACCGATATGCTAAATCACAAGAAGAGTGTGATTATTCCTCAGGCCTTTACTAAACATGTGACACCGCTTCATGACGCAGACATGACATGTTGGCAGAGCTGTCATGTCATCTATCTTTGTGAGAACGAATATCTCCCCATGAATACTGTCATGATGAGACTTGTGCTGACTTGTTAAACATCAGCTAAACAAATGTAGATCTTTTCTTGTCAGTCTACGTTTTTTTATTTTATATCCATGTTGTTATTACTTTTCTAAACATTCAGAATAACTGCAAAGCCAGCAGCCTTTTTAGACGGGCACCGCTCTGTCTGCCTCTCTGAATCACCAAAAACACCAGCTCAGCCTTTTCACAGTGTCTACATTAATGTTTGTTTCTCTCACCCCGGTGACATTTGACCTAACAAAACAACAATCAATGGCCGACACAAAAACCTCTTCCACCAGCAGCCCACCAAACACACACACACACACACACACACACACAATGCCACCTTACACTCGCACGCTGTCACATGATGCCTCGCTGATTGAGAATGTGCAGCCATCATTTTTCTTTTTGTCCCAGACGAACATTTCTCTGGTAGCTTCGTTATTTATGCTGTTGAATGACAGCCAGGAGAGCAGCCTTTGTCCCCGCGTTGTTGATAAAGCAACGTCAGTCAGCTCTTCTCACCGGAGCCATTGTTGTTGTCGCAGTTTTGTTAATCACAGAGCCGGGTCCATCTAAAGGTCACTATTGTATTCGTGCACCAATCTGCTCCTGTAATGAAAACGCTCCTGTGGAGTCCGGTAACGACAGTCTTGAAGGAGTCATTGTGTCGGAGTAACGCCGACTTTAGCGTGATTTGAATAGTTGCTCTGTTGAATCTCCTGCCTTCACAGCATTCAGCCCAATTTCCTCTCTGACTGCAGCTGGAGATGAGGTCACACACCTGACCCCTGCGAGTCAAGGTGAAATGTAACCCTCCGTCCCGGTAACGACAGCTCAGATTGGTTCTTCCATTCTCCCTGGCTGACTCTGCCTCTGTATTCAGCGAGTGTGAATGGGGATCAGCCCGGGGGGTCATCGGCTAAACCGTTCTTCACAGGGTTTCAACAAAAACAGCCCAGAGGAGAGAAGACACTGCCAGAGTTCTTCTTGATTAAATCTCCTGTTGTATTAGGTTGCAAAACTTGTTTCTACATCTTAAGTGTTGAACAATAAAGGTTCGTTATGAGTGGAGAGATATTGCGAAAGGTGTTTTTCACCTTGCACAACCGATTACACCTTGTTCTGACTTGTCATAAATATTGACTTGATCCAAGAGTTTTATTTATTGTTTGCTTTAAGAGAAAGACACAAGCAATATTTTGCAGAATACATGTTTGGATTGGATAAGTGTAGCTCAGTGGGTTGATCAATATAATATAATATCCTCTTCAAATCATCATTTCCCCACATTTTAAAGTTTTTCTGCATATTCTGCAGAAAGATGCATTTGCAAGATGGCATCCAAAATAGCAAACTATTGGCTGTAGCAGGATTAGTAACTTCCAGTTGAGCCGCTAATGGTTGTCCCGCTCACATCGGGACAACCGAACATGGGAGAGGTCAAATCTAATATTCAAAAAATCTGGGTTGAATTGCATTTACTGGGAAGCATCCACATTTGCTCAAGCGGGATATACGAGAGCTTTCAGAGAAATAAAACCTCCTCAGTATCGCTTGGATGTTCATGTAAGTGCTACTTAGAAGTCAGAAACTCATAATTACGTTAAACCCAATACAACAGGAATGCAGCATGAGGCTTATGCGACTCAGGTGTAGATGATTTAGCTTTTCTCTGTCTGGAGGATAAAGGTTTAAAAAAAAAAACATGTGCAAGAATCTTTCTTACATGTGTTGTGCAATAGAGCAAACCTTTTTCAAGTTTCCACTAAAGGCAAAGCTAAATCATTGCGTGCTTTCAAGTTTCGCTGATGTGATTATGAGATGGAAAAGCTAATGATCAGCTGCTCCGATGCAAAGACAGACTGAGCTCGTTCTGCTCGGGGTTGGCAGTTCCTTGCCGCCACACGGCCTCTTTGTTCTCCGCTGATTGAGCGGCCAAGCATCATAAATGCTGTGGTGACAGGCCGCTCTGCTGCTCGACGAGGGGAACCCTGCCCCAGACAGTGAGCACTCTATGGAACATTTACGCTCTCCACCACCCTTCACCTGATGTCGCTGAGAGCCTCCCATTTCATTTAATTAATTTTGTCACAGACGTCTTGTCGCTCTTTAAGGTCACCATGGGGAGACACACAAGTATGGCGTAGTCTCCGGCCAAGCAAAGGCTCACAGGGACTGATCCTTCCTGTACGTCCCTCAGGGGGGAAAGAGTTGGAGAAGGTTGGAGAGACAGTGAAAGAAGATGATTTGGAGAGATGGATGAAGAGAGAGATTTTCAGAGTGGTCATCTGAGAAGTTCTTTTTCGCTCCAGTTGTGGAACAAGGTGATTAGAGCAGCAGACTGCATGAAGAGCTGCGGCTGCTGAGTCTCGACTGCTGTGATGATTAAACAGCAGAGAGTTGCAGCGAGGGCCGTGTGTATGAGTGCATGTGCCTGGATGAAGGAACCAGGACCACTTTCCCAGCCTCTGCGGCCACGTTGTCAAAGTCTAAATCACATCTCATCCTTGTATTGCATGATCTCATTGAGAGGAGCTTTGTGGATTAAAAGGCTGCACTTCACTTGGCAGCCTTTTTTTTTTTTTCTTTACTTCGATCAGCTTCAGGACTGTTTGTGTTTCCCGCACAGAGATTTGATTTACGACCCTTTAGTGCACAAGAGGTGTGAGCTGATGAAATTGAGTAGACGGTAGGTCAGATTTATGTGAGAAAGTGGATGTGACACTATCATGGACGGCTGCTGTCAGCAGATATTTATTCGGGGATAATGATAATAACGACTGCACGCTGCAGACCCAAAGTCAATGCACGACTCTGCCTTTTGCACAGTCACTGACATTTGACATTTGGATCTGGCTCGAAGCAGCAGCAGTTAAAAAACAAATCCGCTCACCGCTGCCACTCCCACTCTGTTGGCAGTCACCACTATCTGTAGAGATAATGGGGCGGCAGCTTTGGAGTGGCAAGTGAGGATAATCAAGGTAATTACTAATTACAGACAAAACTCCGGCAGTGATTACCATTTATTGATCTGTTTTCATTTGGCAGTATGACTGGATCACTGTGAGACACTCGCCCAGTATTTGGTGCTCTTAGGTTTTTGACTTTAAACACTAGAAAGTCTGAAAATCCTTTTAGTTTCCCCCAAAAAAATTACTTTAAATGTTAAGTATGCATGCACACAAGTCAAGTGAATTATAAAAGGAGCCCTTTATGCGAGAGTTTCCTCTCTACATGAAGTTTTTCCATGACTGTGGTGCAGCTCCTGAATTCCCACAGTGAGTGTCTTAATTGGAACAAGCATGTGGTCCAAGTTGTCCTTCCTGAGTGGAATGAGCGCCAGTGAAGAATCGAGGGAGAAAAATATGAAGTGTCGTCGTACTGAGCAGAGAGAGGGAGAGAGAGAGAGAGAGATGTCTTGGAAAAACATTAAAGATGTCACCATCTGTCCACCATCACCTCCCATCAATGTCTGTCTGCCTCTGAGGAGACAAAACACACAACCAAGGACCTCGGATCAATTCGGAAGATCATCGTTCACCATTTCTAAAAATCCCTGCAGACCCCTGCACATGTTGCTGATATTCCTGATGTGGTCAATGTCAACTGAACACAATTAGGACATTACACGATGCACCTGAAGAGGGCGCCCTCACAGTTCAATCACCTGACTACATAGGTGGGACAGTTAAGATAGATAGATAGAGAGATAGAGAGATAGATAGATAGAAAGGTGAGTACCCTCATAGATAGACAGACAGATAGATTGATAGAAAGGTGAGTAAGATCATAGATAGATAGACAAACAGGCAGAGAGAGATAGATAGATAGATAGATAGATAGATAGATAGATAGATAGATAGACAGAAAGGTGAGTACCATCATATATAGATAGATAGATAGATAGATAGATAGATAAATAGATAGATAGAAAGGTGAGTAAGATCATAGATAGATAGATAGACAGATAGATAGATAGATAGATAGATAGAAAGGTGAGTAAGATCATAGATAGATAGACAGACAAACAGATAGATAGATAGATATAAAGTGAAGTAAGATCATAGATAGATAGATAGACAGACAGATAGATAGATAGATAGATAGATAGATGAGGACTCATTGGCTCTGAGGACCTGATGACGGAGGGAGCGCACCGTCTCCTCCAGGAGCGCATGAGCCTTCACTCTCCCTGACACACTCTCACACACACTGCACCTTTCTTCATCGGAGTGAGATCTGTGTGTTGAGCCTTCAACTGTCTTAACTTCTTCTTCCTCCTCTTTTCGTTTTTCCGTATCGTTTTGGAGGTGGAGACCCGTCAGGACGAGCGCGTCGCCTCCCCAGGAGCGCGCAGATTGGCACAGGCTGGAACAAAACAGAGAGACGCAGCTCAGTGCAGCGCAGGCAGGTTTCCGTTTTTAAAGCAGCACGGGAGGCAGGAGAGTTTCGGAGTGTGCACGGGGAAGCGGTGGAAGTGTCGGCTGCACCAAGGAGACAGACGCCTTCTTCTGTGAATAAAAACCCACCGGGATACCGGGACGAACACTCGGATATGGCGGGTGTGAAGGCGATCGACCTTCTCGTTGGAGTTGTTGTAGTTTTGCAGTGCGTGGGGAACGTCCGAGCCGAGATCACAGCCGCTGACGGTAAGAACCTGCAGCCACACCATGAAGCATGAAGCTGGTCACACTGAGTTTAGTCCCTGCAGAGCAGAACATGCAGGAGAACAGGGGCACGTGCAGGTTCACAGGTTTTCTTTTGCACCAGGATGAGTTTGTTTCATGCTTTGATTTGATCTTTAGGAGAAAGAAACGAGATGTCTTCTGTCCATGTGCTTGAAATGAAAGCAGAGGTTCTTTGTGTGCAGCAGAAAAAGGCTCAAGGCTGTTTTACTTTCATTATTTCATGTTTGGGATCCACTTGACAAGGCTGTCATGACCTACTAACTAAAGACTTTGTTTTCCAATTATCATATTTTCACTCCAATTAAAATGTTGAGTTCATTGCTGTGCTTTTTTTTGCTCATGCATTTCCCATAAGATGAGCTCATCACTGCCGTAAATCTGAATTTGCTCTATTTACGTGTGAGACTGGAGCTTTTTCTCTCATTGTTCTCTCTGCAAACCTGGAGGTGTCATCTAGTTCTGCAACCTTTACCAGACCTGAGATCAGAAACATCAGGAACCTGCAGGTGCTTTCTCTGGAGCAGGTCCTGTGTTTCCTTTGTCCCTCTTGCTGTCCTTGATCGAGAGACATAGTCCATGCACGGAGGACGAGAGCTCTGCAGTGTGAACAATATCTCTACTGTAAAGCCACAGCGTGTGCACCTAAAGTCTCACCCTAATCTCCAATCTAGTCCATTCCATACACTGCACATACACCCACTCACACCGGGCCTCACACTCACCCTCACACAGATGGTGGAGCAAGTCCTTGCCAACTCTGGTGCTGCTCACACAGGCGAGCTCTTGTTTTCCAGGGCTTTTATTGCTGGCAGCGAATTTTCATCACGTATCAGATAGTTTGGCGAAATGTTCGTCCACTGACAGTGACTGTAAATTAATCCAGTGTGTGTGTGTGTGTGTGTGTGTGTGTGTGTGTGTGTGTGTGTGTGTGTGTGTGTGTGTGTGTGTGTGTGTGTGTGTAGACCACAGAGGAATGTGCGGTTCGGTTTGGGAGAAAGATGCTATCAGCTGTGTGTGACAAGCAAACACACACACACATGCACTTTTTAGACGTCCTCCTCAGTCTAATTTATAAAGTCTATCATTCTCCTGGCCTGTGCTGCACTCTGGCTCATTTGACATCAGTGTTGTTTTCCTTTACCCATTCTTCCTCATGGAGAAACTGCCTGAATAAAGCTTGTTTTAGAGGTAACACACCGAGAAAAACTCCAAAACAACAACACCCACAAATAAAAAAACGCAATTTTTCCTTTCAGGGCACCTCTCTCCTCCATCTACTGCGAGCTGGACACAGTTAAACTCCAGTCCTCCAGTATCTAGGACAGTATTTTTAGACAACTGGGTGAGGTGCTTCCCTCGTCACAGGCTGACCTCCACTCTGCTGCTGCAAGGAGCAGCCGATTGTCCTTTCTTAGATTTATTAACACAGCACAGGTGGACTCCTTTAGTCTTTACAAGCTATCTGGGAAGATAAAATGTACCTCCTAGGAAAAGCTTCCAGAAGCTCTGAGCAGCTCCAGTAGAGCCAGAGATATGAAGGCTGGTCGAAGCTTTCATTCCCCCGTTTGCATTTATTAGTTAGATGAGCTGTGGAGCACATCTGGGCAAGATTACACAACATCCTGTGAGCCCAGAGCATCTTTTTTTTTTTTTCTTAAGCTTTCAGTCTGTGGCTCTGATGTTCACCCAGCGATACACCCACCGGTGGCACACTCACAAAACATGGGACTGATTTGGGGGTTAATTTGCACCCCTGTGTTTTTCTGGGAGTGGAATCAGAGATGCTCTCCGGAGTCTGGACAGCGTCTGAATCCGAGATAGCTGCATGAGCGTGAGAGAGAAAGTCTTGCCTCCGTGCTGTAATGATGTGGTCTGGTTTAGAAGTCTGTGCTGAGGGCTGTTAATGTGCTAAGATTGTGGTTGCGTGTGGAATTTCATTTGTTGCGGATGCTCCGAGTTTCTTGATGGCGCAGGGAGGTTGAGGGTTAACCCGCTCACAGGCAGCGGCGATGTGGATGCTCCGGCTCCAGGGTGCCGCTCCTCATCCATCATACTGCCAGTAGCTGCCTCTGAAATCATACGAATACACAGGCAGAGGCGCAGGAGGAGTGTGAGCTGCACAGAAACATGCAGACAGATCTCAAAGAGTTAGTGACTATAGGGAGGAGTTCTGGTTGCTGATTCTGATGTTTATCTGGTTCCAAGTTGATTAAATACCTGAATGTGTCAACAAATCTCACATCTTTAATTCTTGATTTGACTTTACTTAGTCACTTTCTCTGGTGCCACAGGTGTCTGCAAAGATAAAGAAGTTCTCAGCAACTTCAATATGATGCACATTTTTAATTTGTGCATAAAACTGGAAAGAGACGTTGGAAATTAAAAAGAAAAAAGGTTTTGACTTGGCTGAGGTGCATGAGGGGATTTAACAATAAATCCAAAATCCTACAAACGGCGATGGAAACAGACTCGCTGCATAAATCATGACGTACATAAAACCAGCGACTTAAATGTCACCCAAGTTTCCGCCCCGCTGACGAGAGGAAAAATACTGGCTGATGAAGACATCAGCCATCCACCATGTTTTCTGCTGTGTTTTTGTTTGTTGTGAGGGTTGAATGGCTTCTTCGTCTCTTCTGAAGTGCTTTTGTTTTTGTCTTTTGCAGACATAAAAAAACGTGGCTAACATTTGCACCAGTGTGTCCAGTTGCTCAGCTGGTTAAGTGGGCGCCCTGTGAACAGTGACCGCAGGTGCAGTTCGGACTCGGCTCTTTGCTGCATTTCTTTCCAGCTCACTCTCCCCTTTCGTGCTAAATCTGCTTGAATTTGAATAATATCTTCAAAGATTTGCACTAAATATGAATGGAAACTCTGCTACTCTTGTTTAAAAGACTGACTGATCCATAAATATTGATAACACCTCATGAAAGTCAACGGAAGAAGAGTCAATCATTCATCAACTCGCCGTCTTGTTAAAGTAAGAGACATTTTTGATGATTTGAGAAGACAAGCACTATGCCTCAGTTTACAGCTGGTGTTTAGTCAAAGGTTGTTCCCATATGAGTTTATCTAAACCCTAGACTTTACCTAAACCCAGCTGGTTTATGGGAAACCCAGTTGGCCAATTTATGATGCCAGGAATTTCTCTCACGTAGGGTTCAGTCTACTTCAGTGAACCCTCTTGAAATCTCTCCCCGCCCTCGCTTCTCTTTCTGACATTGCACATTTCAGAGCGGACAGAATGAGCTAGCCTCTTTATTGGCCCTCTGAATGACCTGCTGAAAGGAGCTGCCTTCAATAGATGACGGGGGTGGGGTGGTATGAGGAGGGGTGAGAGATGGGTGGCGGCGGCGGCGACTGGGATTATTGTGCTGCCCTGCATGCGGTGAGTGCGGGCTACGCCGTGCACTGCAGAGGCAGGGAGGCGGCAGGGTCATACCCCCGCACCAGCATGCCACAGCAGCACCAGGCTCCCGCATTAGTCACGCCGGGGCCCTTGTTGCTCCAGCTCCGCCCCCCTCTGCTCTGCGAAGAAGCTCAGTCTGACGGCTTGAGAGTGCTGGAGTTCAATAGGCTCAGAGACAAAGAGCAAAGAGGCCACTGGTTAATGAAACCCAGCGCAGTTAAGCTCCTCTTTAGCTCTTTCTCATTGTCTTTCATGTGGTTCAAAAAGCTCCTCCACTTCCAGTTGCTCCAGCGCCCTGGCCGAGTTATCACGTCTTCGAGGTGGCAGTAATTACTCCCTGGCCTTCTCCTCTACTTGTGTGATTTGTTTGGAAAAAAAAAAAAACAGATCTTTAACATCATGCCATTTTGAAAAGGTCAAAGGCAGGAAGCAGGAGCAGGAAGATGAACGAAGCGGCCTTGATATGTAGCAATACATTGAGTCATAACCAGCATTTTCTGTTCATGATAAACATCCCCTTTGCCGTAGACGATTAGAAATCTGCCAGTGGGCCGCAGCCTCCTAGTCGGGCCGTTATCTGCTCCTCCTGCAGACTCTGTCGCCAGAGGAGATGCTGGATCATCGGCTGGAGAGTGAAATGAATAGAAAGCTTTTTTATGTCAGTGGGAGGAGTTGCCTTTTTCTTTTCTTTCCTGGGGAGTGAGTGACAGGATAACGAGCTGAGGGGGGAGGCCAAGTAAATGTTCAGTTCCCCTCCTGTGCCGACCGGCCACACAGTGCAAGAGACGATCATTAAAGAAGAGTAAATATCACATTTTAAAATACAGTGAATGATCAGCATCGATTGCAAGGGCAAAGAACTTGGTTACATATTTGGTTGGTGTGTTGACTTCCTTTTCCTGCCTCATTTCCTTAATCAGTTTGTAATTTCCTGTTCTACTGAGTCAGTGCAATTTAACAGAATTTACCAATGTGCCCAAATATGCATGAAATAGAAACATAGTTGAATTTGTCTTTGTGTGATTCACACTGTAGTGAAACAATGAGAAATGAAGCCAGAATGAAAGTAAAGCTCACACAGACGCCTGCAGGTGGCCATATTGTAGCTGTACATCAGAACTTAAACCAACCCCTCTAAATGTGAAAATTATATGGCTCCTGCTGCTCTATCACGCAGCGCCTGCACCAAAGTGATGAAACGAATCCAAAGACGCGCTCACTGTCGACGGTTTAAAGCGGCGGCTCTTCAAAGGGGAGGCAAGTATTACATGCTCCTCTGTCATGACGGAGCGGAGAGAGCGCGATGTTCCGGGGGAACTGAAAGAAGTGCAACCACCCGGCAGATGAGCCAGTCACTCCCACCCTGCAGCAGGCTTCATATCCTGAGCCCAGCAGGAGCGACGGCTTGGCTTTGTCCCACAAAAACAAAGTGTCACTCACGGAGTTTGCGGCATGCTGCTACATGCCTCTGCCTACATGTGCAACTGCGTGTGAACATTTTCTCTCTCACACTCCGGGAGTATCAGTGTCTGCCTCTCAGATATATTACAGTTGT